ACTCTTGGTTTCATCTGCTCCTCGTATTTCCGTCGATTCAACTTGTATCTGCCCTAACGAAAACTGGATCTATGGGTATCGTGCCTTCCATTTAAACACCAATCCCCGGCTTCTGTAATCGTACAACCTGTTATCTCATTGTCGCGACACCTTGTCCCGATGTACGCTTGTCAACACACCCCTCTCTCTTACTCTGCCCGTTTACGTCATTGGATCTGATTGTAATGTAACCGTTCCAACATACACGCTCTTTCCCATTTTCAGCCCACAGGAATTACTTCGCCTCCAATTTGAATCACTGCACACTACCTTTTTACACTTATAAATTATGGCGGATGATGCTGCTAGGAAGCTTCAGTTTGAATACAAAGTCAACTCCAGCCTAGTCCTATTGACGGACAGGTCGCTCATCGACCGCCGTCCCCGTGATGAATCGACGGGCGAGGTTTTAAGTCTAGCTGGAAAAATTCGTGTTCAAGAAATGGGACACAAATCTCAACGCACAAAGCCACCAATGTTACAGGAAAAACGAGCGAAGTGAGTGTTTTTATTACCGGTATATTTTCAGACGCCAAAAGCGTGACGAAATGCAGCAAGACCCTATGAAATTGAAAAGTGCCAGCTTGCTAAGTGATGACCTAGATGATGTTGCTGGCATCATGTACCGGCCCAAAACTCCTGATACCAAAAAGACTTACGAGTACATACTTCACTGTATTCAAGAAGCCCTTGGTGATCAGTCTCGGGAGATCCTGTGTGGTGCCGCCGACGAAATCATTGCCACTTTGAAAAATACCCACTTAAAGGACAGAGAGAGACGAAAAGAAGTTGAATCCCTCCTTGGTAGTGTTTCGGTCTGCATCATCATTTCTTTCTGTAGGCCCACTCGCTGATGAGAGGTACAACATAATTTTTAATTTGTGTAAGAAGATTACCGATTGGAAAGATGAGGAACCAGCTCCTGCTGGTGACAACATCGACGAAACATACGGTGTTAACGTCCAGTTTGAAGAATCGGACCAGGAGGTAAGATCAAATTGAGCCAGCAGGTTGATCAGATTTCGTTTTGCGCTTATCTAATGCGGTCACATGACTTATTTCAATTACGGCCTTTTGTCTCTATTTTTGGGCTTAGAACGCAGCTCCACAGCGTCTTCTCTCTTGATGTTCCACGTCATTAATCTGCTTCTTAATCCTGATAGTTTTTATGTAGTTTTGGGACTTGGGTTGCTGTCCGGGCTCTAACTTGCACTCCATTTAAACTGTTTCAAATTGCCGGCGATGTTCTGCCAACCGACTGAAAACCGAACTGGTCACCACTAGTTGATCGCCCCAGCTTTGTTTTTTTTTGGATTTCCGTGGCCCATGTAGACATTGGTTATGCTTATACCATTTTACAACACAATTGCCTGGTTGACATTCACTTATGTCAATGTGCCACGTAGGCGGTCGATCGTTATTCGACTTTCAAATGCTTGAAATGCAACCGATTTGTTCATTCCACATTACTTCGTTCGAGGCGCCTACCCCACTCAGGAGCGTGGCCAACTTCACTATGTTAGTCGAGGTACTACACCGATTTCGTTAATGAGAAATGTAGTGGGTGCCATAATTGGCGGTGTCATGAAAAGCTCCGTCCCAACTTTATACATGGTAAATAAGAGAAAAATCTGGTTTCCTTCATCAGTCAACACGGCTAATTGTTAGCGCAAGTCCATCTTTCGGGCTTGGTTATTTTCACGTTTTTCTCAATACTTTCACTCCTCATTATGTTGATGGTGAGAATCATGATAGCTAGACCCACCGCACCTCGGTGCACGCATCATAGTTGTCGAACTGAATGGAATCTCTTAGTTATTTCAAATCGACTCCCCATGCGCTTATTATCTTCTGTCATACGCAGAACTGACCTCATATTGTCGTCGCTCTCAGCTTGACGACCTTATTCTTTGGGTTCTGAGCTTTTCCGATTCGCCGGTGTAGACTGCAAGTGCGGTGTGCATTTCTTACGGACAATACGTTTCAGACATACTACAATGGTTCATGTCTATTTCTCATACTGGTTTCTTTTCCTACTGACGATCCGAGCCAATACATTCGACTGAAAGATGCACCATGCACCATTTGAAGTATGCTTGAGCAGTTAGTGCAAAAACCATATCGTTTCTTCAATTCGCTTATTTAAGCTGCCTTTTAATCAAATACTTCTTCAAACTAAACTCTGTTTTGTGTCAGCAGAAAAGAGCTTGCTTGTTGCTTGAACCTATGTGCCTTTATTGCACAGGCCTCTGGTATATTATCATCTTAACTAAAATTATTCTTTATTCCCCTAGGAAAATCACTCATTTCTATAGTTTTTGAAAGTCTTTACCATTTTGGTACGTATGTACTCGTATACTTTTGCCTATTAGATAGCTGGTGTATGTTTATGAGTGCCTCATGCTGAGGTTGATGTTGGATTCATGGTAATTCTTCACTGCAGTTGGGATAAACCAACTTACACTTAAACTATAGTTTTTTGATCTGGATATAAGACATTCCACTTTATTTGTTTGTTTGTTTTTAAATTCTGTTACTCTACTGCATATACTGTATCAATTTCGCGTGTTTGCTTTCCATCAAATTCCATGTTGGTTGTTTGAAATCCCCGGTGTGGCTGCGCTTGATGTGAATTTTGACAAGGTGCCTACCTGTTTAACACACTTCACCTCGATTACTGGCTCCAGGAGACTGAATCGTTGCTGAGAGGACAGGGAGCACGATCCTCGTGCTAGGCTCCATCTAATGTGGAGCGGACTACAGCCCAGCTACCGCCTTGTGTACGTATGGTACTCATGATTCCCACTATAGATAGACAGGAATGCTGCTGCCGCTGTGGATGTTGGAGGAGTGTTGGCCGGCTCCTTTGATGAAACATGGCTCCCATCCACATGCCTCCAGGTATTATTCTTTCGGGTTTACACTGCATATGTGGTGTGTGGATGGAGCTGTGGGTGGTACAGCGCAAGCCACCCATGGTCCCTCTGTAGGCTCAGGCTTCCTGTCGCTGTCTTATGGAGACCGCAGTGACAGGCAACTTTGGAACCGGATGCCAACAACCATGTATATTTTTGAACGCTCCTTATAGTTCCACTTGTTTCACAATCTAGAGTAGGCGACAACGATGTTTCCACTGTGACCTTTGAAAGTGCTCTACTGCTTTGCTTTTGTATTTTTCTAGGGATATTCTTGTGCTTCGTTGTAACTATGACTGAACGGTAGTACACGTGGGTGCCTACGAATACTTTGCAGGCAGATGCAGAGCTATCCAACCGATTTTTTGTCTTAACTACAGACAACTTCGAGTCTCATGACGACACGTTGCTTTACCGGTGGTTGCTGCGTGTGGTCTTATGTTTACTCAATGATAAGTCATTTTATGTCTCTCTTTCTGTACAGGATGAAGAGGATGCTTTTGGGGAGATAAAGGAAGACGATGATGATGAGCAAGAAGGCGAAGAGGCCGTTGTAGAGGTGACACTACAATCTCGCTCTGACGAATCCGCCAAATCATTTCGTCAAGCGAGTGAAAATGTGCGACCACGTGACATCGATGCCTTCTGGCTACAGCGCAACTTGGCCAAGCATTGCAAGGTAAAGCGGCATTTGTTTGTTACCTTACTTTCTGTTTCACTTAATCACACAGTGCGTTGACGTTGATTCTTGTGGGAACTTATACCAATTCCGAACTTACTCTTCTCTAGAAACTGGTGGTCACGAAGTTGATGATGTCGTGTTGTCTGTTATTTTGTACTGTGGGTTGTACAGTCTTTATCCTAGTCTTTTTTCCACCAAATTACTGTTTTGTGTTGGAATGTCACTTTTTAGTGGCACTACATCATTTAACACAGCGTGTGATGTTAAAAATCACCTTTTTTGAGTAAAGTCAGCCTTCATTTCTTTGATATAGGCTGCTAACAAATCCTTTTTTATTCCATTTGTTTTCAGGACCCTGTGCTTGCCCAAGCGAGGGCTCGCGAATGTTTGGAAATTCTCCAGTCTGCCGTGGATGACCGTGACCTTGAGAACCGTCTCGTTCGAGCCCTAGGTTACGGGCAGTTTGACTTCGTTAAAATGCTCCGTGTTAACCGCATGATGATTCTGCATTGCATACTTTTGGCTCAAGCCCAAACCGCCCAGGAGCGCAACCAGATCGAGTCGAAAATGCGGGGTGACCCGCATCTGGCCAAAGTCCTGCATGAACTTCGTGAGACAGATGCACCATCAGATACCGTTACTGAGGAACGACAGCGAAAATCTATGCAACGTGTAAATCGCCTACAGGTTAGTTGTTTCTTTCAGCTAGAACCGTTGTAGCCTTCTTATAGTTTGAGTGGTTCCTGTTTCTGATTTTTGTAACCATAAGTGCTTTTTGGACAGAGCTCCGATTATTCCTTTATCCTCGCCGACCATTGTGGTTTCTACCGCTTTTCTCTATGGCAGTAAGAGATTTATCCCATTTCCCAATCGAACCGCCCACCCGTAGCCTTAGGGATCACAAGGCTGCCTTGTAATCCGAGGGCACGGGTACGAGCCTGCGTAGGGCCCGGTATCCTTAGCCCACGTGCCACTGTTGGTGGTTGCGCGGCAGCGAAGCGTCGGTACTGCGTACCGCTGATACCTTTCCTTTTTCTTTCCTTATCGAACCGCCCGTTGAACTTTGTGCATCGTGTGCTGCCTAGTTGGGCCCGTCCGTTTATGACCCTCTTATTTCTGTCGGGTTCATTTGTTTTTGTACTCACTAAAGCACAAGCAGGCGCCATTTGCGAATCTTTCTTCAGTTCTTATAACTCCTTTGTATATATACTGATCATTAGTAGTAACCGTATTTGGCTTTGGGTATGGCTGTACAATTGGTGATAACCGATATCAGCTGCCTCCCCTGAGTCCCCTCCTAGAGTAGATAAACTTCCCCTCTAAATTATGGTGGATCCATTCATGTTTAGTCATTGGGACATTATCAGGTATATTAAGTAGGACCTTGATTTGACAAAAATTTTGAACAATGATTTGTTGTGGTGAGACTTCCGTCATTCCTCTTGTCTAATTATGCCTGAGCTGCAACTCCACGCCTGCTGCTCTGGAGAACTGTTCATTTTTGCCTTTTTATTTTGCACCTAGTCTTCCACTGGTCCCCTGTATTATCATCCCTCGCTGCACTGATCTGAGCGCTGTTAGAATAATGTCTCCTGCGTCAGTAATAAACTCTGCTATCCTAAGACTTCAAATAAATGAATTAAAAATTATTGTTTAACCAACCAGTTCTTCTTCTCAGTTCTTCATCTCTGCTAGCTCTCAGTCAGTGGTTTATCACTCATCTGATTGCAAACGTTTTGTGTTTATCACACTTCCGTTAACAATCCATCAATTTGAACCATGCCACTTTACCTCCAAGTCTGTCGGATCACTTTACTCACATTCTTGTCTTTCTTCGAAGTCGGATATCGAACAAGCGAATACCGAAATCAGTGGCTTACAAGTTATCGAAGATGGAACGGTTGGAGTTGCAAATTTGCTCGATCTAGACAGTCTGGCGTTCTCTCAAGGTGGACATTTAATGGCCAATAAACGATGTCAGCTACCCGATGGGTCATATCGGGAACAGAAGAAGGGTTATGAAGAGGTTCACGTTCCCGCATTGCGGCCAAGAGCGTTGGAGCAAGGGGATACTCTGATCAAAATTGAAAAACTCCCAGCTTACGCTCAAGCAGCTTTCGAAGGATGTAAGACGCTCAATTTGATTCAAAGTCGCTTATGTCGTGCCGCGTTGGAGACGGACGAAAATTTGCTACTGTGTGCACCAACTGTAAGTGCTTCGTAATCCATTCACCGCCCCCATTCTTGTTAATTCCGTCGTGAGTGTTGCAATGTCTACTATTTCACACACTGTCGCGCATTTACCCGTCTATGCCTGAACTTATTTCCAGGGTGCGGGTAAAACTAACGTGGCCTTGCTGTGTATCATGCATGAGTTGGGAAAATTCATCAACCCGGATGGCACAATCAACAAAGATGATTTCAAGGTGATTTACATCGCTCCAATGCGTTCACTTGTGCAAGAAGTGGTCGGCAATTTTAACAAAGTAAGTTTTTATCGACATTCTTAATGGAACTTGTGCACGCACATTCCTCTGCAACACCTGATGTTTGACCTAGCTGGTGTATTTCGAATGCTTAGTTAGACCCATCCTTCATATCAATCTTTACTACACCTGTTGATACTGCACTGCTTACTTTCCAAACCCGAATTCACTTGAACGATCGGCTCTTTATATTTCAAGGATCGAACAGAGTTCCCCGGGGAACAATGCGAATGTGTACCACACAGCCTGCTACGCTTCTCTCATTCATTGCGATCTCAACATTTTTGCGGTTAAGCCACTTTCAGGCATTATGGCACGTCCGGTGATATGCTACTTGTCATCGTCTCGGAATCCTTGTCTCTCTTGCCTGCTGTTATGCACTTTTATTGATCAGTTGATTCGAAGTACCAGAACGGTGTTATTAATGAATTTGCATTTTTTTACTTGCTTTGTTTCATGATTTAAGTTCGATTACCTACAGATTCCTTGGTAACATGTATACTTCACTTGGTGCTCGAACAACCTGGGGAACCATTTCGGATCCACTTTATGGTGCTGTGCGTCGTGACAGCGTATCATAGAAATCCGTTTTTAGTATGTAAACAGCTTAGGGAAACCACCATCGGGATGTCTATGACAAATGACATGCGTTGGATCTGCTCAATTACTCCTTTGCTCGTTAGATCCGATCAAACAGATTGTTTATGGCTTTATTTGACCCAGCGTTAAATTCCACACACATTGGAGTGGTGAATTAACACACTATCTTTATCGGCTATTGTCCCACACGGTCTTTTCTTGGTCTGCTGCCTGTGACGCCTTGGAGCCGTGTCCGCCTATTCCCAATGAGTGCTAGACTTCTATATCTCCCATGGTCTTGCAATTTTTTTGCCGTCTCAGCCTATGCTCCAACCGACTGCAGTTGTACATCGGTTAAGGATGACTTCTATCGCTGACTCCACCAGCCTTTGAGTAAAGCTGAAAAATCCGTTATCGTCGTGTTTGCCGGAGACTTCAGTTCACTGGTCGGTCGCCTGCTGCCATGCGAACGTCATCTTGTTGGCCGTCATGCTCTTGATGAGAGTCGCTCTGATAATGGAGATAAGTTCTTTCTCGCGAGCATGAACTTTAAGTACTCGATGAGACGCACCGCCACTTGGCGTCCCCCTTCGCCAACACAAGCGTGGTCACAAATCGGTCACATTGCAATCAGCTACAGATGGCGGAGTAGTGTCATCGTCATCAGCCATCATCAACAGCAGTACATCAGCCATTTGAACTGCTGCTTCGTTGCCATACAACCATGAGGACCTATGAAATAAAGAATAAGAAGAGGGAGAGAAGGGGGACTTATCTGAAAACCTTAATGCCCTAAGCAAACATTCAGGGTCAAGGCGCCTACACCTTGTGTAGACAACATACCGTCACAAACATTTGGCTATCGTGCATAGATAAAGCGGCATCGGCGAGACAGCTTCCTTGCGGCTTTCACTGCTCCGCGTCATAATCAATCATTACCCCGCAGATAACTCAGCATCAAACACACTTTAAAAGGCAATCCGATTAGGAGACGGCAGCAGACGCGCCACTGGTGTCTACTACAAGCCATGTCCTGTAAAGTCTCGAGCCAAGCACAAAGCGAGTCACGTGGACTCCAGATGGCGGAGTAGTGTACGCGATTGTAGATCAATTTGGTCAACCTACCTCGAGCTTTCCCAGCTGATTCAAGCTGCGATGAAATCCGCCGCAACCCCAGCCAACAATTGAAGCAAAGCCTGCATGACGATCGCAAAACTTGGTGATTTCAGCGCGCTTCGGAGATGGAGACAGTAGCTCTCTCTGAAAATTTTCGCAAGCTTTTCCAAATCATTCGGACCACTGGCCACAGAAAACTTAGCTTCAGTGAAGCTATTTGCGAGATTGATGGACCAGCAATCAGTAAGCTACGTGGGCCGCTAGGCTGAGCACTTCCACACCCAATTCAGTTGGCCTCCTCCTTCTTCCTGTCAAACAATCAGGCCAACTTGCACACCTTGGAGCGTTTCACTGGAACTACCCACTGAAGCATAGGTCTGTCTTGAGCTTCCTCATCTGAAGCGATTCAAAGCTGCTGCGTAAGATGAACCTTGTTCGGAGCTGTTCAAGTACGGTGGCAGAACGATTGTCAACCAGTTAACAGCTCTTTTCTCGATAATCCGATGGGAAGAAAATGTCCTATCCTCTTTCGACGAGTCGATCGTCGTACCCATTTTCAAAATGGTGCTCGTACTTCATGCAGCAACTGCAGGGGAATCAGTCTAATATCCGTCGCCTCCAAATTGCTAACGTCCATACTACTGTGCAGGCTAACACCGATTCGAGAACTACACTCCCGTGAGGAACAGGCTGGTTTCCGCCCCGGTCGAGGGTGTGTGGACCACATCTTTACACTCCGCCAACTCCTCGAGTAGCGCTACTTTTATCGCCGGCCTACCATTGTCGCCTTTTTGGACATCCGAGCTGCGTTCGACTCGGTCGACCGGCCTGCTTTTTGGCTTTGTCTGCAAAGGAACGGGGTTCGCGATAAGTATACCATCACACTTCGAGCTTTAAACAACAATGTCTGACAGAATGAGGGCTTACAGTAAACTCTCTTCACCTTTCACCGTCACTAGCGGTGTGCGACTGGGATGCCCACTGTCCCCGTTTCTCTTCAACTTTGCGATTGGAGATGTCTTATTAAACGCTCTGGAAGGTCTCCAGGTTTCTGGTGCAGAGCTTCTTCCAGACAGCCGCGCGACTGACTTGGACTATTCTGATGATATTGCCTTGCTCGGTGACGACCCACAGATCATGCAGGATGTTCTACACCGCTTGGTGATTGAAGCTGCTAAGTATGACATGACCTTCGCTCTATCGAATTCCAAGGTCCTACTCCAGGACTGGCATCCACCCGCCCCCGTGCTGGTTCTTGAAGCCATGCAGCTTGATCTAGTAGATAGCTTCATCTGCCTTAGGAGCTGCGTTTCCTCTGATAGCATTATTGGAAGAGCAATTTCTCTCCGCAGTGCCAAAACCCGATCAGGCTTCGCTGATCTGCGGCGTTGTCATGACGTTTTATTTTCGGTGAAGGGTAGGGTTATGGTGCTTGTGTTCGCGCGGTCCTGTTATGTGGGAGCGAGTGCTGGCGGATTCGCGTAAATGATTTGCGTCGAATTTCGGCATTTGGCAACGGTTTTCTGCGCAAGATAACTCGTGTGTGATGGGAACACCATATTAGCAACGTCGATGCTCGAAGTCGCGTCCTAGCTTATGCGGGCTTACCTCTTGACAAGGTAATATCGCTGCCGCCAACTGAGCTGGCTAGGTCACGTCCTACAAATGCCGTACGAGCGTTTACCACGGCGCGCTCTATTCGCTTGCGTAAGGCCGCACTAGAAGAAATCCCATTGTGTCCAACCTGCTACATGGCGACCAAGCGTCAAGCTCTAGCTGTTGTCGGCACCGTACGTCTTCCGGGCTGGGGAGTCAGAGCTGAAGAACATCGCTGGTTGAAGACTCTTGTGGACATGGCGGATACTCGGGGCCAATGGAAGGCATACATAAGTCTGCGTTGATTCTTATGATCAGCAATGTAGTCCCTAAACTGACAAAAAAAGACAAAACGGCTTGTGACTAACACACAAAAATTCTCTTTGTATATTTTCTTTTTTAATCTTTGGGCTTGTTATAGATATTCATTCCATGGTTTCTAGCTGGCTCGATGTCTAGTACCTACACTGCTGAATATATATATATATATATATATATATATATATATATGGTTGGCGGCATCCGGTTTTGGATTTGCCTGTCACTGTGGCCAGCCACAGGACGCCTGCGCCTACAGAGGGACCATGGATGGCTTGCGCTGCACCACCCACAGCTCCATCCACACACCCCATATCCAGTGTAAACCCGAAGGAATAAGACCGGGAGGCATGTGGATGGGAGCCACGTTTCATCAACGGAGCCGGCCCACACTCCTTCACAGGCAAACACAAGCACGCTGTATTTGGGGAATCAACCGCACACAAGGCGGTGGCTGGACAGTAGTCCGCTCCACACTGAGTGCATGGAACCACTCTTCGAGCCTAGCACGACCACAAGGACCGTGCACCCCGTCCCCTCCAGCAACGACCAACTGTCTCCTGGAGCCAGATGGACGAGGTAGTGGGTAATAGACAGGTAGGCACCTTGTCAACATGCACATCAAGCGCAGCCACACCTGGGATGTCAAACAACAGCCAATCATTCGAAATGCCGATATCGAATAAAGTAAACGCATATGACGACATAAATACTCGCTAAATGAGCATACGGAAGAAATTGGTTAAATGTGAATACGCAATAAGTACAAAATGTCCGAAAGTTATTTAAAAAATACCACGCGATAAAATTACGCAAGCTTACCACAATTTGCATGAGCGACGTGTGTAAGTTGGGAGAAGATTATCAAGTACGCAGAACAAACCAAATAAAATGTAATGAATTTTATCCACATTAAAAAGACCTAGTTTAAGTGTAAGTCGGTTTAGCCCAACTGCGGTGAAGAAGCATCATGAATGCGACATCAGCCTCAGCATGGGGCACACATATATATATATATATATATATATATATATATATATATATATATATATATATATATATATATATATACAGATGTGGTAACGCGCCACTTCTATCGCGACCAGTACAATGCGTCGCTCGGGGCGCTCCCTGGAGTTCCGTTCCAGTAGTGTGCGCACGTTCCAGCACCTGATTCTGAGTGCTTTGCGCGCAGGCATACGATTGCATTGGTGGGCATTGGCACTCGAGGTGGCGGATGCGCTTCAGAGGTTTGCTTGGGGGACTCCACCCTGAGCCTTTGACTCAATAGCCTGACCCACAAGGCAATGGGTGTTTTGGAGGTTTGCTTGAGGGACTCTGCCCGGAGCCTTTGGCTCAGTATCCTGCCCCATAAGGCAGTAGGGAGCAGATCCAGATCGGAAATGTGATTGCAGAAACAGATTGGGATTTGCTTGACGGCCGCTACACACAGCCTCTGAGGTACTGGAACGATTTATATATGTTTTTCGGCCGTAGTAGGATACACCTGCGACCTCGGCCAGACGCAGGTAGATTTTGGCAGGTTTGCACCGTATTGACCAGGGGCTGCTTAGCTTGAGGCGGGCAGTAGCAAACCATTGAACACCCGGAGACGCCCTCGCACCGTCAGAGACAATGCGTGGCACTCGAGCTCCACGCCAATCTAGCTGTGAGCTTATAACCCGTAGACCTGTTGTCTCCTATGGCTAGGTTTTACGGGTAGAGGGACATCGATCACTTCCTAACATTCGAAGAGGATGGACTAGGATACTGGCAGGGCACCCACACCTGACAGGAGAACAACTCGGGTCCTCAGCCAAAGCCTTCGATTAAATGAACACCCGAAAGGCAGCGGATCTAGCACATGGTCAATTCACTGATTCATGCGGATTGGTGTCCTGGGTCTTAGCAGGGAGAAGGGCGAAACCCTGCTCCCACCCAGCGGTCACCACGAGGAGGCGTCCAAGCGATGAGCAAATGGCACAACAGTAGCAGCAGTGGGTAGAACATCTGTCAGGAGCTAGCCACCACCAGCCTCAGTGCACCATAGGCTCTCCCGCCAATATATATATATATATATATATATATATATATATATAATCTCAGGCGCAGTTTCTAAGATTTCCGTCATAACACGTCTTAAATAATTTTGACCGGGCATTCGATTCACCCATGTCGTTCATCCGCTTGGGTTGATACGAATGTTCGCGCACTCAACGAAGAAGTGCTCTCGAGATTGAGCGCTTTGCGGACGCATAGGAATTACCACCAAGCATTCATCGTGTCAAGACCGACAGCTACACAGAAAATCCAGACCACTAAACCACCTTAGCGGATGCGCACTATCGGTATTCGATTGCGTTGTGGTCATTTCATCTCTGAACTGAACTTCTCTTTGTTGAGTTCATCAACACCGTCATTTGACACGTTAACTGGAGGTGAACAACAGTTACTGTACCGCAATACATTACAGTAGGACATTAGAAAAAAACGCAAAGCAATGAATAGTAAGGGTACACGACAGAAGCAAGTAATATTATGTTTTTTTATTACTATGCATCGGCATAGTTTAATCAGATGATTCAAACTTTTTTACTTGAAGGCTATTCTGCTAGTCAGGATGGTGGATGACAGAGTAGAAGGAATTGATCTCCATTGAGAGTGTCACAAAGAGCATCAGCAGTTCGCCGGTACGCGGAACCGACGCTTCGCCGCCGCGCTACCACCACCGGTCGCACTTGGGCTAAGGATACTGCGAGAGTCACTCTGCAACGTCACATTGCAAGACAAGGTTGTTACTTTTAAGCTACGGGCCGGCGATAGTGTCACAAGCATCGACTTCATCATTATCCATCAGAACTCCCCATAACTGGCCAAACTGATGACAATTCCTTTTCCCAGTAATCTATTGATATCCCTTCATCTGGGAAATTGTGCCTTATTGATAGCTTGAGGCATTTCCGCTGCTGCGCTTATTAATTCCCTTTGTACTTCTTGGTCGAATATCATTAAGTAGCTACCCACTGGGACCCATCCAGTTAAACTGACCCCGATATTTTCACTTGGTGCCCTCAGGATCTTAAACGGTCTCACGGCAAACACGGGGGGTTTAGTTGTCACCACTGAATTCTGAGTCAGGTGGCTATTAGTTCTTTGCAATTGAAGCGACGAATTCGCTTGGGGGCTCGAGTGACACGTAATAACTCCCGGGTTCAACAAAGAAAGGAAGCCGTTAAGTACGGTGCTATTCAAATAATAGGTAAAGTGCAATAGGTACATATCTCGAGATTACCCGATCAGTTCCGAAACAACCGGCCTTCACAGTGTCCAAAAAGAATGCAAATGGTACTTGCCACCGTACATAAAGAGTCACACGATACCGAGTCTACGATTGGACCATGACCTTTCCTTTACTATACCATTTCCCGGCCAAGCAGTCCTCTTGGGCAACAGAAATAATCTGAGGGGGCATTCAACATGAGTCTACTCAATTAATTTGTTCCGTGCGTAGGAGCTGAAGCGTCCCACCTGCATCCCTATGATTTATTGCGTCTGACGTCCAATTGGCTGAAGGCGATGGGCTATACACGCACACCTGCACAAGTGACTGGCGTACACAGGGAACAAATTGAGTAGACTCATGTTGAATGCCCCCTCAGATTATTTCTGTTTCCCAAGAGTACAACTTGGCCGGGAAATGGTATAGATCCGTTAATCCTTGACTCATTGGTTCATTATACAGCGTATGAAAGGGAACGCGATGGGCTGGATTTGGCTTAGTCAAACAGTGGGGGGTGGGAGGAACATGGAGGTGCGTATCCCTGGAGCGGGAGGATGATTCAAGTCCGAGATGTGTGTGGGTGGGGTGGTCTGGACGGGTTGCACAGTGTGAGCGAACGGTCTCCACAGTGAGAGGTGAAGTGAAGTCATGTCAATATCAATATGAGATCACAGGTAGGATACTCGGTAAACCGGCGCTCATCAATTGGGGCAGGCGTCTGCTTTGGTCATCCAGACTGAGATACCGACATGCGGCTTGCTAATTACATAGGTAGTTAGTTATGTCGGTTGGCATGTAACCATGGCACATAAACTGGGTGAGCGGATAGATGGTGGGAGTTAAGAATTAGATCATGTTATTCATCTTGTGGATTACATAACACTTAGGTCGGGAGGGCAAGTAACCATGGGGCATAGGGTGGGTAAACAAATAGTTGGTGGGAATCCAGAGTTAGCTCACCTCATCCGTCTTGCGAATTGCGTGGTAACATTACCGCTAACGGCAATTATGCCGTCTTGTATACCTATTTCGGAGTGGCAGCACGCGTCTTCTCGTGAAAGGTGCATTATGAGAACTGACGTTGCCTATCGTTTGATATAACAAATGTAAGCTGTCAACGCCACGAAATCGTTTACGAAAGGATGAACTCTCTATTTAAGCTACTCCACAGTTTAGGCGATTATTTGACAGATGTAGGAGACTTTTTCTTACTGGTTTTTTGATCGAGTAACGGGGAAATAGTTTTGTGGTCGCCGGACCGCTCATTCGGGGGAGGGGTGATTTTTTACCTGTTACTTCTAGCCTTTCGATGGAGATTCGTCATAGTCACACCCAGTCGGACAACCACTGCACATCCAGCGAAGCGCTTCATGACCGTTTCACTCTTTCGGGACCGTCACCTGTGCGCATTCCATCTGGTCCCCGTGGGACTGGAATCCGCGACCCAACGTATACGCTTCAGTGATTGGAACCACTAGGCTAGGGGAGATGAGCGGCGGTCTCCGTGAATAAGTAGCTACATGTGATATAATGCGTATGCTCATGCATACACATTTCTAATGCGTAGAGGGCAAGGTTTGCCCCTTGTGCCGCAAATTACCCTTGCTGGGCCTTCATCATCCGATAGTATTATAAACTATCTTAGTGTTACTGACTGTTAGAGAGTAGCTTTTGACCAATAATTCTGTCCTGCTATACATTTGGATAAATGGAGGTATGCTGGGGTATTTCATCCAAATTCCTTGATCCAGTATTCTGCTGTACAGGATAGTGAGAACTATTCTAACTCGGGGATGCGGTTGCGGAATCCACTATGCCCATGCCTTAAGTAACTTGCATTCATCTGTGGCCAGTCTAGACATTCTGGTGTGCATTTTTCGACATCCATAGTTAAAACACCTGCAGCCATAGCCAGTCGAAGATACGTTTTGACGGGTTCACGCGTTATTGGTTGTAGACTGTTCGGATCAAATCAAATTATTGCGCTCTCCTGTGGACATAGAAAAACTGTGAGCGGAAAGTGTTGAATATAAGCTGTGGTTCCCCATGCGGGAGGTAGATCATTCATCTCCTTCCAACCTGTCTGTACTTTACTAATTCACAACTCTGTTATGAGAGGTATTGCAGTTTCTTAGGGAAGATCGCTAGACATAGCTAACTAGATCACGAAAATATTAAGGCAGCTATGCCTTGCTACTGTGTTATCGCTGTTGGCGAATCCAGTCGCAATCTACTTACGTTGCATATCCACAGCCTATTTTACTTTCTGCTATCCTGATTAGATTGCATTTTCTTGGACCTCCGTTTCACCTGTTACCCCATGATCAACCAGTTATATAATCCCTTTTGCACAGTAAAGCTATAAACGCCTCATCAGTATTCCGGGACACTATTTTGATGCTTCGCTGCCACGCGAATACAACCAGTCGCGCGAACACTGAGTATACCTTGAGATCGCCCTCACCGGTGACCGGATGATAACGCAGGCACGCAATCCTTTCGTCTTCCTGTTTTAAGACCCTCATGTTCATTAATCTCTAGTTGGATGCTACACACTTGTAATGGATCTTTGTTGGCTGATTTTTGATTTGGTGTGACCTACTCCTCTGTATTACGTTGTTCTGTAGCATGAACGCCTTGTAAAGGCAACTGTGGAACACCTTTCGAGTGGTATACAACGCATTCAACTTTTTCTCAAATAACCGTGTGTTATTTTTTCAGCTTTTGAGCAGCTATGGGATCAAAGTTGATGAGTTGACCGGCGATCACCAGCTCACTCGCGAACAGATCTACGACACACAGGTCATAGTGTGCACTCCGGAGAAATGGGATGTCATCACTCGGCGCGGTGGCGATGAACGGGCGTACATCAGTCTTGTTCGCCTAATCATTTTTGATGAAATTCATCTTCTTCACGATGACCGTGGCCCCATTCTCGAGGCGATCGTTGCCCGGACTCTGCGTGCAGTCGAGGCCACGGCAGCGACTGGAAGCGGGTCCAATGAACTAGGTGGCGGAGGGGGAGTTCGTCTGGTTGGACTGAGCGCCACGCTTCCAAATTATGAGGACGTGGCGACGTTCCTACGAGTCGATTGCGCCAAAGGATTATTTTACTTTGACAACAGGTACAGGTCACTTTTGTGCTACCCCCACTACCTTGGCTTCGGATTGCTTCCGAATCTAGGCGAGGTTCTGTCCCCATGATTTCCTTATATCTGAACGGCGTTTTACAGTGTTTAAAAACCACAGTACGCGAAACAAACAGCGCAGGAGTTCCATATTTTATCCTCTGTTACTGCATGCAAGCCGATTACTTCTGTTCCGCAATCTACTCATCCTACTTCTTTGCATCAACGAGCTGACACACAGATTGTTCGCCTTCCTGGGCGTTTTACCTCCATTGCTTACCTGTTACGGAATTCTATTCATTTCTCGCTACTCTCAAGATACTCACAAGAAGCGATTTTAGTTGCTTTCGGACTGGGTACTGGGTTCTATCGTAGCATCAGAAGTACGTTGGCACACCGTATTGATACTTAGCCGTGACGGGACTAGCGCATGTCGCAAGTTGGCTTGGTATACCGCGAGATTGTCCACACCTACGCGGATTCGAATCGGTAACCTCCGGATTACGAGGCAATCACGTAATCCTTTCGGTCATCGGCCGACTCGCAATCCCTAAGCCGCTGATGTTGAGAGGTTATTGGTTCGAGTATTGATGAAACTGAAGGATGCGCACTACTGACAGCTACTCATAGGACTAAACCACTGTCTAGTTCAATTCTGAATGTATCTGGTTGTGCCCGCCTGTGACGAACAATCTATAAATTCAAATCCCCTCCCTCTAAACAATCTGTTTCCTCCGTATCGCTATGATGATAGCCCACAGAGTCGTTTGCATGTGTTCTGCTCATTTGCCAGCTTACTGTGATCCCATCTTTCTTATTCTCGCCAGCTATCGACCAGTCCCTCTGGAGCAGCAGTATATTGGTATCACGGAGAAAAAGGCAGTGAAGCGATATCAAACAATGAATGATGTTGTGTACACCAAAGTGATGGAGAATGCGGGCCGGAATCAGATCTTGATCTTCGTGCACAGTCGTAAGGAGACCGGCAAAACGGCTCGTGCATTGCGTGATGTTTGCTTGGAGAAGGACACGCTTGGCATTTTCATGAAGGATAAGAACGCCTCTGCCGTTGTCCTTCGTCAGGAGGCTGAGCAGGTAATTGTGTCAGTGTGCTCCCATTTTCCCTAGATTTCATGCCACTGTTTTTTAGATTTATTAGATTTTCCTAGCCACTTTTGATGATAAAAGCAGATGAATTCTGTTGAACGCACCAGAAGCCGTTTCTTACCTATTGTTACACATTGAGGGAACCTAGAGCACCTCGAGCCGATTATTCTCACCAAAGTGCCGTACCGATTATCTCACTCTAATATTGGTCTGGGGTTGGCAGATAATCCTTCCAGAAGTAGATCACTGGATTAGGCCTTTAACTATTCGTTTCTCAACGGCTTGAGCCGTTGTCTTAACATGGGTTGGTAGCGTATTCTAATTCTTAGAGCGGCCAACCTGGCGATTAAGCAGAAAAAGTTGATATGAGTCTTTTTTGAGCTGACGCACAGCGTCTTCTCGGATGGAACTCATAAGATCGGCCACCTCAGTGGTTGGAGTTTTTCCCCCGCATGGCGCAACTAATGAAGCCCCGCTTGCTAATCCCTTCGTTTAACGCCTATTCTTTTTAATTTATCCCTTTTATGCATTAGTATATGGTGTGCTCCTAAATTTTCCCATTCGTTGTTAATTATCACTGTGGTGACGCGAGTCATGGCAGCCACATCAGACACATCGGTCCCCGAATCCTACTTCTCTAACTGAACTTTACTATGGGTTCGAACCCCACTACTTTCGAGGAGAATCGCACTGATCCGGAATTGAAATAATTGGCTGTACCCCCGGACGCCGCGGATTTTTGAATCACCGTGTGCTGAATACTACTTTTGCTTCGGATTACTGTTAAATGTTTTTTCTTTGTGGATTATGCACCAATATTCTTCTTTTGGTGTATTTTCCAATCGTCGCAAATTTGGTGGAGGTTTCATTCATTGGCTCAACTGCCATCTGTGTCCGCCATCTTGGATTTGCGCTACCTTGTGATGCCGTCTCAAGCTACCTGTGGTTCGTGTTCGAAAGTTGTTGGACATAAGGCTCATGCACTTCGGTGCTTCGGCTGCGACGTTTTGTTCCATGGTTCGTACATTGGCTTATCCGTTGAGGTGTTTCGAAAATCTCGACTTCCGGCATCGGTTTTTCCAAGTTATATGTAATAAATGTCTCGGTGCAAGACATCAGAATACACAGCGACCGCCAACAATTACCGGAAAACTACTCTTCCAGGCAAAAACAACCCGTTCACCACGTGGGGTCAAACGCCCTCGTGAAAGTACCTCTGTCACCTCGCCTTCCCTTGTCACTCCGCGATCAGCACCACCACCAGCGTCCACGACCCCGGCCGAGCCTCAGGTTCAATGTTCCCCACCGATTGAAGACTCATACTCGGGACTTACGGAATGCCGCCTCACTGATCGGTCCGTGAATTTCTCAGAGCCTGACTGTGAACCTCTGAACACCGAGAATCCATGGAACACTCAAAAGTACAAGCGGCCACGAAATCGAGTTCAGACGTCTCCCGATAAACGCCTCTAGTCCTGTTCCCACAGGTTCATCACCGATTTCGCTGAGGCATCATAATCTCATGGTCTTCCACGTGCCAGAGTTAAAAGAGGAAAACCCTCAGATACTTTGTGATCACGATGTTGAGTTCCTCCAAGGGCTCATCGATAGGTTCTTTGATGTGGGTGAGGAGAGTGTGACGAGTGAATAAGTAATCTGACTTTTCCAGAAATCTAACCAGTCATATCGACGTCTGTGAATCACCTTTGCAAATCACAATACGTTGCAGCTCATACTATCTCGTCTGTCAAGGCTGAAAGGCATAAATGTTCACATCCGCCGAGACTTGGAACTTAAAAGACAGGGATCCTTTAAAGACCCATCATTGAGCTTAAACGCCGTACGGAAGAAGGTGAGACTGACTTACAAATTGTATATTTTCGCGAAATCAAGGAGGGTGTACGAACCCATATCAACCGGTTGCTCAACCTTCAGGCACATTCCGCGGTACCTCCTAGGACCCCGTGTGGCATTCGCCAACGTGTGCAGCCTAATGAACAAACGTGACGAACCGTGCCGCTTCGCTGTCTCGATACTCTAGTTTCCAATGCGACTTAAAATCAAAGGCTCACGATGGTGTTTTGTCACTATCTGGCACCTATCGGAGCGAGGATAACTTATGCGAGCAATTGTGGTGCACAATCCGCCTCAGACCCGCAGAACTAATAATGGGTGTTACCTACCGTAGCCCATTAGACCGTTGTTGCGGTTGGCTTCCATATATACAAAAGCACATGAGCCGCCCTCATTCCTTACTGATGGGGGAATCTACATTTACCTAAGATATTCTGGCCAGACGTTCGGCTTCTTCCCGGTCATGGCAACGTTGAGGCTCAATTCGCTAAAATGACTATTGAAATCGAGGCAACGCAACATGTCATCCAACCGACGCGCGTAACTTCGCACTCGGCATCTTGTCTGGACCTAATGTTTACGAGCTGCGAGCAGATGCTGATCCTCGAACCTCTGGCGAACAGTGACCACTGTTCTATTGTGGCAAGCATAGAACTGTCGTTACCAAATTACAACCAACGGAAGCCGACATTCAACTGTGGGAAGACGGACTTCAACGGGCTCGTCCAAGCCGCAACTCAGACTGATCGGACACTACCACAAGATGCGTCGCTTGAGGCCTGTTGGTCGTTAATGCAGGGGAAGCTTAACTCGCTATGTACTCGGTTCGTTTACCTGAAGTATTCAAAAACCGGACCTGTCCAACCGCATTGGTTTGATACGGAATGTAGAGAGTTAGCGCGACGGCCTCGCAGACTTTGGGATAGATACATCAGCTCGGGTTGTGATGAAGATTACACGGTGTACAAGAAACAGCGTAACTTATGTAACGCCGCAAACATCAAGAAACGCCGGCAGTTCGAAGTGGAGCTAGCATCCTCGGCCACAACTGCACCCAAAAGAATATTTGCTTACTTGAAACGTCAACTGAAACCTGGGGGCGACCTACCGGTCTTAGAGAGCTTGGACGGACAGACGCTCATTTCAAGCGCGGTGCGCGCGGACGCCTTGGCTACGCACTTCCTCACCGTATTTTCCAGTAAACCGGCGGCTGTTCCAGTACCGGCACAGGTTGCGCCAGTGTTGCTCGACAGCCTACAATGTGATGCAGTCGAAGTGTATCAGCTACTCGTTAACCTCGATGGTGCAAAGCCCCCCGGACCAGATGGACTTCACCCACTAATACTTAAGCTCCCATCGAATATCATCTCACCAGCCGTGACAAACCTATTCAATAAATCACTCTCTGAAGAATCTGTCCCCAACGACTGGAAATGCTCGATAGTGAAACCGCTTCCCAAGGGTGGTGATCCGAGTAAAATGGAGAACTATAGACCGATCTGTTTGACTTCCATATTATCGAGAAGGTTGTGAAAAAGTCTTTGCTGTCGTTCTTTGAATCGACGGACGTAGTGACACCGGCGCAACACGGCTTCACGAAAGGGCGATACTGCATCACCAACTTGATGTACACCAACCACCGGTGGTTACGAGCTCTCAACGGACGGAAAGATGTTGACGTGGTGTACATTGACTTAAGACCTTTAACTGAGTGAACCACGAGGTACTGCTTCTTGCACTGTGAAAATGCGGAATCGGTGGCACGCTACTTTATTGTGGGACGGCAGGTTAAAGTACAGGTCAACGACTACCTGACAGACTGGTTCCCGTCAACCAGTTGCGTGCCTCAAGGAACTGTACTTGGGCCAGTATTATTTCTTATTCATATCAACGGTCTTCCGCAGCAGCTCCAGTCACCATGTGCCCTGTTTGCAGATAGTTTGCAAATTTGGAGGTTTATTGAGAATCATGACGAGTGCGCTCGCCTCCAGTATAGCTTAGATCGACTGTCAAGGTAGTCCACTGAAATGTAACCCTTTTAACGCAAGCAAGTCGGAGTTCATCACTATCACCAGACGTCCAGCCACTCGATCATGCACTTTGCACGGCCAGTTGCTCCACCGTAACACATCTGTCATAGACTTAGGAGTACTCTCGCAGCATGATATGAGATTGCTAGAAAATGCAGAGAAATTGTACCGTGCGGGACTTCGTATGCTCTGGGCATTAGGACGCAGTTTCTTTACATGTTCCGAAGAAACCGTCTCTCGCCTATTCACCTCGCTCATTAGACCAATCCTTGAATACGGCGCCCCAGCTTACCATCCTATAACCCAATGGGAAACTGAAAAGCTGGGGACAGCGCAGCAACTAGAATGTTACCCAGTCTACGAAAGCTTCCGTATGAAAAACGTTGTGAAAGGCTCGGACTCCACACTCTACTTTACCGCTGAGTAAGAATTGACCTTATTATTATCCATCGAGTACTACACTTGAATCAATTCCCCATACTGCGGCCAATCTTTCATCTGTGGGAAGGCTGTAACACCCGAGGACACTGATACCAACTCAGGGTCCCCTGCATGAACAAGGTATCACATCAACTCTGTATGGAACGAAGAATCGTAAACTTCTGGAATGCACTACTAGAAGGACTAATAGAGGCCGATTTTGTGAAGTGTTTTAAAACACGTATCGACGATTACTTCGGAAACTTGTGTTTTTGTGAAACGGTGCACATACAATGCAGAAAATACATCCCGGAAATAGTGACACCAATACGAATTCCTAACCGAACAAGGACAAACGATTAACTGACCAAACACTACCGCTGACGATTCGCAATTAAATGTTTTTGATTTGTAATAATCCGATAGAGTTGTACAGAAACCTTTCTACTTGCTCTTAAATACATTCTCTGTGTCAGAACTTGGTGCTCATCCATTGTTTCTCCTTATGACTGCTTCTGATTTTAACCAATCTCTGGAATTCCTGTTATTTAGGACGTTTTGAAGTTATATTTGTATCTAGTTACCCATACTCTGCTGATCTAGACCAGGCAGCATCATCATTATGGTCCGCGGATTGGAGCCTGAGCTGATCACAGCCCTGAGAGCAATTCAATAGCACTTCCAATATTGTGTTAGGTGGGGTGCTTGTTTATCGTGCGCTCGTATTGCAATCTCATTTGTCTAGCTCCAACCGGATCGTCATCCACTTTGTTTGAATATTATAGGTGAAGAACACCGAGTTGAAGGATCTATTGCCTTACGGTTTTGGTATCCATCATGCTGGAATGAGTCGCGTAGATCGGACTCTGGTGGAAGATCTTTTTGCAGATCGTCACGTACAAGTCTTAGTCTCCACGGCTACTCTTGCATGGGGTGTCAATTTACCCGCACACACCGTGATCATCAAAGGAACTCAGGTGAGCTGATGCTGTTTTTGTCCTAATTATCAACATTCTGCATGCATTCAGTATAAGCATTTCAACTCTAGATTACTATATTCGGTTCCCCTACTATGGGGATGCTTACCGTTTGCAAATCACTATCCAGTCACAGTTAAGTGTTGTATCTCGGTCGCACAGAAAACTGTTCCGACCTGGCGAATCACAGCTAGTTTGATACAGCTTTGGAAGCGATACTCACAAAACCTGACTGTCCTGTATGCGAGGCTTTCAGCTGGTGATCATTAGGCCCTTAGTTCCGTTCGCGTCGCATGATCAGGGCAATCAAAGTCTCCGTATTTTTCATCAGGTTGCATCACTTTGCTTCAAATCCATTACGGTATCTTTTCTCTCACTTCTTATCATTTAAAACTGAACTAGTCATTCGGTTTTCCCCCACACATTGTTGTCGTATTCTGGGTTCTCTGTCAGGACGCAGAATCGCATGCTCCAAGTCATCAGTCTTCCTATAGCGCTCATTCTAAATCGTGTGTGGTCACCTCCGCCAATATCGATTGATGTGCATCTGGACATAGACTTATGGTATCCCGTTCGTACAAAGCATGTCGTTCTAATGTTCTCCCTGATTTACACATTTCCACCCTTTACTTCCAGATTTACAGTCCTGAAAAAGGACGGTGGACGGAACTGGGCGCTTTGGATGTAATGCAAATGCTCGGTCGAGCCGGTCGCCCGCAATACGACACCAAAGGTCAAGGTATTCTTATCACAAACCACACCGAGTTGCAGTACTATTTGAGTTTGATGAATCAACAACTACCTATAGAAAGCCAACTGATCTCTCGTCTACCCGATGTTTTGAACGCTGAGATCGTGTTGGGTACCATCACTACCGTGCGCGAGGCGGTCACATGGCTCGGATTCACCTATTTGTACATTCGAATGCTGCGCAATCCTAGCCTTTATGGTGTCCCTGAGGGAAGTGAGAAGTCCGATCCATGGCTCGAACACTATCGCCGGGATTTGATCCACACTGCTGCACTCGAGCTAGATCGATGTCAGCTGATTCGGTACGATCGGCGCGTCGGTAGTCTTCAATCGACCGAACTAGGTCGTATCGCATCGCATTACTATCTGACTCATAACACCGTTATGTCGTACAACAAACTACTGCGGCCGGGCCTCGGTGAAATCGAGTTGTTTAGAGTGTTTGCGGCTAGTTCGGAATTCAAGCACATGACAGTACGTCAGGAGGAGCGATTTGAGCTGGCGAAACTCTTGGAGCGGGTGCCCATCCCCATCAAAGAATCAGCGGAGGAGCCGTCGGCCAAAGTGAATTGCCTACTGCAGGCCTACATATCTGGATTGAAGCTAGAGGGCTTTTCTTTGGTGTCCGATATGGTCTACATCACGCAATCGGCTAGCCGCTTGGTTCGAGCTATTTTCGAAATTGTGCTTCACCGCGGATGGGCTGAACTTGCTGATAATGCACTCACGCTGGCCAAAATGGTCGAGCGCCGTATGTGGGAGTCCATGTGTCCTTTGCGCCAGTTTAAGAAGCTTCCCGAGGAAGTGATCCGGAAGTTGGAAAAGAAATCCATCCCATTCGATCGCCTATACGATATGAACCACCATGAACTTGGTGAATTGGTTCGAATGCCAAAACTAGGCAAACCGTTGCACAAATATCTTCATCAGTTGCCTCGTCTGGAGATGAGTGTCCACGTGCAACCAATTACCCGGTCCGCTTTGCGTGTCGAATTGACCCTCACCCCCGACTTTAGCTGGGATGAAAAAACGCACACGACCAACCAAGCGTTTTGGATTTTTGTCGAGGATGTAGATGGAAACACGATCCTGCATCATGAATTCTTCGTTTTGAAGCAGCGTTACGCAACCGAGGAGCATGTGCTTCGATTCGTCGTTCCTATTTTCGACCCACTCCCTCCGCATTATTACATCACTGCGGTCTCTGATCGATGGATTGGTGGGGAGGTCACGCTACCCGTATCATTCAGACATTTGATCTTACCAGAAAAAACTGTTCCACCTACGGAACTTTTGGATTTACAACCTCTTCCCATCACTGCTCTAAGGAACAAGGAGTTTGAGGCCCTGTACACAGATCGTGTTCGCGTGTTCAACCCGATTCAAACACAAGTGAGCGCTGATTTTCTCTTCAAATGCTTAAACTTCTTGTCGACAATTTCAACGCACTGTTGTACCGGCTTCGTATCTGATCATTCATTTTTAACCGACTCCATGGAAATCAACGCATAAAATAAATAAACAAATGGTGCATTTCTCATCTGCGAGACACAGGTCAATTGTATGGCTATGTTGTTCTGTACAACCTAATGGAATAGTAGTGAAAGATCTTGCGTTTTACAAAATAGTTCCCAAAGAGGCTGTTGAGAATTTTTACCGATTAAGACCGAAAATAGAGAGTAGAGATAAGTGTAGGCAATTCGAGCAAAGTAATACGACCGTCCGTGGAACCGTCTCCTGAAGACCTGCTTCTATGCGAAGCAGTCCGTCGAGAAGTTTCATCCCCACTTCCACACCTCATCTGGCCAGGTGTTGAGGTGTTTTTTTAACAAGTAGGCCGTCATCACGTATAGTCTTTTTTATGGCAACTGTTATATACAAATAGGCCGTCATTATACCGATGTGACTAAAGTTCAAATTGGCCAACATCTTTGGGGTAGCGTTATAGGTACAGAGATGAACATTGCAGATATTCAGCCTATTCCAACTGTCGACTCATTTGAGTCCAGCGCTTTTTCCTCTTGCCAGTGGATCTTCTGGTGCTGACCGCTCCTGTATACTGTCTGCTGGTGTAGACTTGTAGCGTGATCCGTTCGTAAAGAGACTTCTTAGCTAGCGTTTAAGTTGTCATCTTCAGGTTTCTCGCTTTGTCGATGATCGACTCCATCTGTTAACCCTTGCTCGTCTGTTACTGTAGTTTCTCTTTAGGGAATAGATTCGATTTTGAACGTTTGGTTGCCTACCTTTCATGTTGTTTTTGCGCCTCTACTTTGGAATCACGAAGCGTTTCTTAGGCTTAAAGTGTTTCGGCTGACTAACGTTCTTTTATTTGCTCCGCGCGTTTAATTTGTGTCGTAGGCTTTTGCATTTTTGTCTTGTTTTTTTGCTGCCGCGCGCTCTTCCTTCGCGGCATCCACCATCGGATTGTCGGAGCACCGTCTTCACTTATAATAAAACCGCGGTTCCGTTTTGCTTCACAGAACTTCCATAGCCGCCAAATAAAGCATTGTTGTAAAACTCTTACGACCGTTTTCGACATGCTACACCGCTGATTTTGTGGTCTCTCTAACTTTCTCCACGTCATGCGAATTCGCAGTGTGCTGTATGTTTGTCCATAAATGCGTAAGCTCGTTTTCCATTCATATAGTATACACGTTAGCTGCAGGTGGAAAACAACGCAGCTATTGTGCTGCAACACAAAAGACAAGAAGATTAAAAAACAGGCACGTCGGCTGGGTCCCCAGTAACGGATGGGCATCCTTCCGAAGAGCTAACAGCCGGCTATCGTGCCACAAAGAGTTATATTATGCCTAACGAATGAGATCGTGATTGGAGGGGGATGGACAAATGAGCTCCAACACAAACGCCATTGGGGCCGGTTCCTAGCCATATCAGCAAGTGTGTCCAACCAAACGTGTTCATCGTCCTTAGGATCCCAGCCAGGCAGTCGGGATGCACCAAACGACGCCAACTTCGAAGCGGGAATTTTCATTTCTCTCGACCAAGTCATCGCTTGGCCTCCCCTCCTCTTCCAACTACACCCCCGGTGCGCAAACAATGCACGTCGCGGGAGTCGGTGTGCTGGCAATGCGCGACACGTGGCCAAGCCATCGGAGCCTGAACTCGTTTTCCAACCGAATAGTTATGAACCGTATCTCAGTACATCTCACTGATGCCTTGCTGTAATGAAATTGTGAGCAACTATGTGCAAGCCGGAACATTGCTGGGACACTCGTTCCATGCAGGAGACATACTCGCACCTGATTGGATGAACTTTAACTGCTGTTCAGTTCTGATGCATAGCTCGCATCGCTTACAAGTTGAATTAAGCCAAACTGTTTTCATTCAGCCAACCGAGAGCGCTGTCTGCTGTGAACAGGTCACATTTGTGCACTTCACAGCGATCACTTTCGAATCATTTAGTCGCGAGTGATTGTGACCCACCGCGACGGGTATGGGTCTTAATGTGGTGAGTTCGTGTGTCCGTGACTCATTGAACTACGTTGGGCGACAATTCAGTTCAGTTGAACAACTATGATCCGAGCACCGAAGTGCGGTGGATCCAGTTGGCACGAATCACATCGCAAAAATAACAATAAATAACCATGTTAAGTTAGTGGGATTGACTGGAAATAGAATTTGAAAAAATGGAAGCAAGAAGGAAGTGCATTACATTAATCAGAATGGAACGAAAATTGATAACCAGATGCAAGAAACCGAATACAAGGACGCAACTGACTGCGTGACTGTGCCATGTTCCAACGGTCTCCAACCGTTGTTGTGGACCATCCTGAGGCCCCCATCCAAGGGAGACGGCATGCACTAGCCTGATCAAGTCTCTCAGTCAATTTTCTCAAGCCTGTGCTACGTCAGCGTTGGGCGACACTTTACAAGTGTCTTCAAAGCCACTCACTTCGGATAGGTCGTTACTTAGAGGTCCACTCGTTCCACCGTCCTTTTCATTAAATGTTGAAGAGGAATGTATGGTCCTTTTTCCTTTAAACTTAACCATGCGAAGTAAAGGTTATAGGTTTTAGGCTCGACTCGATTGGCGTAGGGCATGGACACCACAAGTTGCGTCTGATGGTGTGAGCACTTTACCGTTGCTCGCTGGTTTGTTACCGCCGCCCTTATGAGAGGTGACCCCTGGTCACTTAAGTGAAAAACTGCCTAATCCCCTCTGCGGTTGACTGTGGTTTCAGATTTTATCCATTCGATGCTCGAAAAACATGCACAACTATTTCCGTATCAGCCAAGATTGTGTGACCGGTCCCAGGCGGTTCTCAATGTAGCTCCGCTGTCGCAATCCCTTGATCTCCAATGCCTCATGGGACCAACTGTTAAGTCGAAGACTCCGAATGGACTCCCCCGAGTAAATCTTCATTAACCTCACTACCTCATGAGTCGAGCAGCTGACCCAGTGGATAGAAATCGGACACCGAAAAGTTCCTCTCCCTCGAAGTAGACAACCGACAGTATCATCTGTCCAGAGAACTCCATCAGTAATGTTTTCCCCTCTTCCTTTCTTTTTCACGAGCCCTCTTTCAACATCTACTAGCAAAGGATCACAGCCAACTTCATAAGCCACCTATATATATATATATATATATATATATATATATATATATATATATATATATATATATATATATATATATATATATATATATATATATATATATATATATATATATATATATATATACAGTCCGAGTTTCTCGCACCTGTCCTTGTGCGGTGAACTCCGTAAGCTAGGTATAAGCCTGGTAGCGACGTCTAACACATTCGACGAAAAAATCGCAGCTAATCATCGAAAAGAGGCGGATTTTTAGCGCACTTGTAACAAGCTAGTTTCTATTTCCGAGCGATATGCTAGCAGTCTTCTATTGTGAGTTTCATTTTTGTTTTGGAGTCTTCTGTTTCGCTTACAACACATTGATGCCTTGGTTGTCTGAGTGTTCGCTGAGCTCGGCAGGTTGACTGCAAACGTTTCGTCACTGACGCTCCGTACGCGCCACTTTGCTAAATACACGCGCACTGACGATGTCACCTCGAGTGGTGACGAAACGTTTGCAGTCAACCTGCCGAGCTCAGCGAACACTCAGACAACCAACTGAACAACCTGAGCTACCAACATTTGCTTCTGTATCACATTGATGCCTTCCTTAGGGAAAGGAAGATGCCACTTAGTGCTCATAAGCACCCAAAAAAGACTATTGTCCTAGAGCGTGACGCGCTGTGATTCATAGCAATACGCAGGCTAGTATGGTGAGATCCTGCGTCAGGGACGCTGGTGTTGACGTTTCACGTAGCACGCTGATTGCTGAAAACCTGCAACTGAGTAGTTTATTAAAGTCGTCAAAATTTTAGTCTACTCTTTGTTGCAACCTTAAGATTTTTCGACGTTTCTCCTTTACAATGTGGTTCATCATAGTCACACTCAATCAAACAGTCACTGTTTTTTTTCTGGAAAGGCACCGGACGACCGTTTCTTTCATTCTGGAATCGTAGAAGTGCGCATTCCATCTGCGCCATGTGGGGCATAACCCTTGATCGTCGAATGTGGACGGCTTTTCGTCTGACTATGTTACGAAAGGTTTAGACCTGTTCGATCTTCTGTACCTTGCGCTGGGTGTTCGGACAGTAGACGAGGAAGCCGTGCTCTAGCAGTACTGGTCATATAATGGGGAAATGTTGGAACTGCGGCTCAGCACCCATATCATTTACAGTCCGTTACGATATAGCCTATTCGTGTTGTCCACTGACTGCAACTCGCAGCATGTGAGTACGCCCCAGTGCTTCACAGATAGTGTGCGATTCAGTGGTTGGCCATCGAAGATATAGGTTCCGCCCTCACCACTCTCCTCAAACACCTGAATGGGTTGACCAGACCACGCAGAGAGACGGTTGATGTGTTCTTTCCCTCATTTATTATTAACTACATTAACATTAACATTCCCGACCCATAATAATAATAATAATAATAACAATAATAATAATAATTCTGGGCGACTTGCATACTGGTAGTTAAGTCCACCGCATTTCGGTCCACAGACTATGATTTATAAACTGTAGCGATCTGAGTTAAATTATTTACTGCATTGTACACCTTTGTAAGGGATACTAGAAAAGTTTCTTTTTTCTTCGATTTCTCTTTCCCACAATTCCCAAGTCGATGTGATAGTGAACTGGAAATCCTCACCCGAGTTTATTTGTGGAGAGTACTTGCCTATCCAAATTCCCCCTTCTTTCCTATCTCCAATTAGCATGGAAAAGTATATGCTACTCTTACATACTTGGGAGGAGGTAAAAGCTACCTATGGAACACATTATTTCAATGAGAAAACAATTAGAGTCATTGATATGGGACCTTTAAATCGACTGTTTCTTTTTCATTATAACCTCATTTTTACCTTACCTATCGCCAAATATTGTTGACATTTTCTCCGGTTACACTATTTCAAGCACTGTGTATTGTGTCGATTTTTGTCAAAAAGAATTTTGAAATGGTACGCGAAAAGTTATCAAATGGCGTTTTTTCATAACTTGAAGTCTCATTGTCCCGGTTGAGACGAACTGGGGCTCCAACACCCCGTGACTACAAAAGAGAGAAAGTGCAAATACCCTAATGATTTACCTCGTCAACGGAAAGTATCTCACCTGCATACACACGGGACCGTTTATTCGGGTGACTCATGTGCACCCCGTGCTATCTATACATTCAGAATTTATAACGTTGCTAACGTTAGTCCATCCGCTGAAAATGGACCTATGCCTATATCGACTTGATTTGACTTGAAGTCGTTTCAGAAATATCCACGCTCACCCCCTGTAGAGCATGCTAGCCATCTAGTATTGGCTAGCGCAACTGAACTAACAGTCAGGGAAGCTGATGTAGCTGTTTTGAAACGTGAGCATTCATTGGTTAACCCTGTAAATACCCATAAATTTTACACTACTTGTAACTCCGCTTCAAAACGTTAATTTCTAATTTTTTGCCTGGATTTGGTGCCAGTATCGTACAGAAAGAGGCACAGGCCCTATAGTTGAATACAGCGGTCTGTTCTGTGATTTGACTGCCGACGGTACTGTAGTTATTAGGTGCACCGATTTTGTTTGAATGGTAGCATTTGCAAGAGAAGTCACTTTTCGTTACTTCGTGCGGTAACCAAACGTTTGCAGCCGAAGTCAGTTCGGTAAACAATACTATCTATCTAGGCCATTATCTGGAATCCGCTTCTCTCATGCTGTCGACTTCATTGATTAATTTAATAGTTTACTAACCAATCCTAAGCTATTTTTCCAGCCAGCGCTACACACCTCTCCTTTAAGCTGCATCACAACACTTCACATAGTGATCGCTTTTTCTTGGAGGGAAAACAATTATTTGCTCCATTTTTATTCGTACATCGATCTATTCACATCTCATTGTTTTTTGCTCAATGACACTCCGTATTCTAACCTCTTGCGCACATTGTTTACCTACCGGCATTCTAGGTCTTTAACTCTCTGTACAATTCCGACGAAAATGTGCTGATCGCTGCACCTACGGGGAGCGGGAAAACCGTGTGCGCTGAGTTGGCCATCTTCCGTTTGATTGCAGCCAGCGCCGCCAGCCAAGCAGACCCAAGCAGTGGTGGTGGTTCCACCGGCAACTTCAGATGCGTCTATGTTGTGCTCCATAGCGACCAGGTCGAGCAGCGATACGCAGATTGGACGAGTCGGTTCGGCGAAAAACTCGGCAAACGTGTGGTCCGGCTTACTGGGGAAACGTCGGTGGATTTGAAACTGCTTGCCAGGGGACAGGTAAGTTCGTTTATGGATGCGGCCATCTGATTCGGAACTAGTCACCAAACAGTCATTATTTCCACGGCCTAAACGCATCTGCTTTATTCTAATCCTTCAATACGTTGTCCCCATTGCACCTCCCTAATTATGCCACCACACCTTCCGCTGAAAATGCCTGTCGGTTGCTCCTATAGAGTATCCCGATTCTGTCAGAAAACAAGTGATTCCCCAGCTGGACAGTTGGTTATCCTGTAACAGGTGATTCATGAAGACTTTGAACTTACACACTCTGCTGTATGTTCTTTACCTACGATCGTTCCCGAGAGGTGTAATGCTGTACTGTTGTGGATTTCGGATTCGGACAATAGTTCGTCTACCCAGTGTAACCTCTTGACATCTGTTGATCACTTTTAGATCACATCCTTGGCTTATACGCAAGAATTAATTAGTTGTTCCTTATTCTCCTTATGCTATTCCGTGACCACGGTTCCTACGAGCGTCGTTTATCCCACCTCGTAGAATGCCTCTTATGTGTTCCTCACTGAGTGCTAGGCCTCGCATGCGGCGTGACCTAACTGGATCGTGAAAACTGGGTAAACAGGGCCCACGAGATCGTCTACGTCACTTCGCGACGAGCCTGGACCTTAACGTGGTGCTCTTGATTGCGTATCTTCATAACCCATTGAGCTACGCGGGGTGGTACTTTCCAAGTGCCTTCATCGTGACGGGACTGAACCATCGCGATGAAACTGGACATTAACGTGGTGCGATTTTTAGGGTGTCTCAATGATCAATTAAGCTATACCGAGTGGTACATTTTGCACTTTCAGACCTACTCGTACCAGATTGATCAATGGTTAGGGGCTGGACAGTCTTCTGGCCCTCTAGCTTAGGGCTTGGAGTGAGGGTGGCTCCTCACTCCATAAAACACTCTGTAGCTCAGTGAAAATCCCCGCTGCCTTGCGCTAATGTTTTTGGACCAAAGGATTTGGTTAAGAACCCTAATCGTTCTCCTGTCTAGGGCTGGGCAACCTAACAGTATCCTGCCCACGCTATACAACACAATGACTTTCCCTTCAAATAATCCCTTTGGTATTCTGACTGTCGTAGGGAATAATCAACGGCGCCTTATCGGCTACATCGAGCACAGTGCACAGGGGTTTGGATGCTACGTCTTCTTATTCCCCCACTTGTGCTTATCCATCCTCATCGTCCTGCTCCAATCACTTTTATTTCCTTGTTTTCAACCCGCCAATTCTTGGTCCACTCCTGTATTGCTTCAGTGGTCACTTGTCCTCTAGTTTCAACTCACACGCAATCTCGCAGGGCGTCGCTCCAGTCCCGTCGACAAGTCCATGTTCGACCAAGCGAACAACATTAGTTCATGCGTTTCGCTTCGGAGTCCTCGATCTTCGCTAAGACTGGCATGCCTCAACGTACGCACTTTGCTACAGCTTGACCAACAGGCTGCACTTGCCCGAGCACTGCAGATCTTATCGATCAATATTTCCTGTTTGTCGGGAACCCGCCAGCACGATTTGAGCTCCGTGCCTACCCTGCGATCCCACAAATGCGGCACTAAGGCACATTCTCATTGCGCCTGTCTGGATATGATGCAGCTTCAAATAATGAGCAAGTCGGCGTGGACATTGTTTTAAGTCCCCGAGTTGAGGTTGCTCTGATCGATTAGAGCCCTGTCAACAGCCGCATGTGCGCCGTTAGGTTGGATTGCTCGCTCAAGGCTTCGAAGTCGCACGACGACAAACGGTACCTGTTTGTCATTGCAGCGTTCGCGAACACAAACAGTGGTACTAACACGGTGAAAGACGATTATTATCACCAACTTAATCGTCTCCTTCGTCACAGAAAAAGTACGGATACTGTGGTGCTTGTTGGTGATTTGAACGCCGAAGTCGGAAAATCGTCATCAGCTTAGCTTCATCTGGGCACACAATGTAGTGTAGGCTCTCGTAATGATAACGGTTAGCGGCTGCTACACGTGTGTGAAGATGCTCATCTCTTTCTCACGAGCACTCACTTTTGACACAGCACTCGCAGAAGAGTGACTTGACGCTCACCAGCCTCAGACGAGCCATGGATGCAAATCGATCACATCGCGATCAGTTACTGCTGGAGAGGATGTGTCCAAAACTGTCACTCGACTTGGAGCACGAGCGTGAGCCGATCATGCTCCTGTTTACGCTGACCTTCGGGTGCCTTTCGGCGGACGTCCGCAACGGTGTTGTGAGCGCATACATACATGATTGCTGGGGAAACCAGATGTTCTGAATGCGTATCAAAGTACGCTGGCATTCGGTTTGTGTAAGCGTTCACTGAATACAATTGAAGACCACTGGTCGCATATTCAGGAGGTTTTATTAGCAGTGGGCATGTCGTCATGTGGCAAATCAAATTGCCAACCTGAATATTTGGTCTCTACACAGATTCTGGAACTTACGGATGCTCGCCGACGTATTCCGGCTGGAGCTGAACGCAATGAGATTCGCAAAATTCTCAGGTCAAAAATGAGTGAAATCTGGTGGAAACAACCGCTGCCCTTGGTGACCATCGTAAGTTATTCCGTCTGGTACGGGAAACAGGCAGCAGTACACCTGGTGTTAGCGAGACTATACGCAACGAGAGTGGACAGCCGACCCACGGCTTGTCAAAATGCCTAGAGCGTTTTGCCGAACACTTCGCAAATCAGTTTAACCAACTCATTATCGCCTTCTTTTTCGGGCATTACTTTCCATTCTCCCTGGGTCATCCCCTTGGCTCTGTCCTCACGCGCAGAAACCGAACGTGATATCAAACCGCTGAAATTGAATGAGGCCACAGGGACAGAAAGACTTTTTCGAAGAACCTGATCTTGTTGATGCTTTATTAGTGAAGCTGTGGGAGCAGGAAAATGTCCCGACAGACTGGAGCCGCTCCGCCATAGTCCCAATTTTCAAGAGAGACCCTCGTTCAGTTGCGTCAATCATAGAAGGCTCAGTATGATCTCAATTGCTTCTAAATCGCTTGCGTCTCTCGTTTTCTCTAGAGTGACTGGTACTCGTGAAAGTCAGATTCGTGAGGAGCAAGATGGGTTTCATCGAAAGCGAGACTACATCGACTACATCTTTGCGTCAATTGTTGAAGCACCGCCATGTTTATTGGCTATCCACCGTAGTCGTGTCGCTCGACATCAAAGTGCCTTCGATTTGCTGGATTGATGTGCCCTTTAGGACTGTCTGCTCAGGAAAGGTGTGTTTGAAAAATCCTAGGCATTATCAGAGCGCTGTACGCGCATAGTTCGGGTAGAGTGAGGGTTTCTGACAAACTATCGTACTCCTTCCAGCCGTGTGAGACAAAGTTGCCACCTGTCACCTTTCTTCTTTAAATTTACCATTGACGAAGTCATAGAAATAACGTTCGCTGGACAAGACTTACACGGTGTGGAGCTGCTTCCTGGCGGGCGACTTCTGGACTTCGAGTATATTGGCGACATTGCTCTAATCTGTGACAGCTCTCAAACGTGCCAAACAACACTGGACATATTAGCACTGGCCGTCAATCCTTTTGGGCTTTGTTTTCCTCCCTGGAAATGCAAAGTCTTGCAAGCTTGGCTGGGATCCACCCCTGCAGTGACGCTTGGTGAGGATTATCTACAAGTTTTTCAGGAATTCAAGTACCTGAGCAGCTATATTAGCGTCCATGGGATCGATGATGAGGTCACGAAACGTATGGCAGAAGTTCGGGTGCTTTTGCTAATCACCATCACCTGTAGTGCAGACGCGACACCACTCATCCTGAAGTGCAGTGTTTACAATGCAGCCATCCGTTCAACCCTCTTGTACGACTTTGAAATCTGGCCCATCAGGTCGACAGACAAAGAAGCTAGCTACCTTTGACTGTCGCTGCCTTCGCCGCTTAGTTCATGTCTGGTGCGAACACCGTGTGGGCAATGAGCGTGTTCGGCGTTGCGTATTTGGTGCAGGAAGAGCGAGTGAACGGCTCAGCACCATGATATCACGCGCCATGCTCCGATGGCCGGGCCACATATTGCACATGTCAGCACACCGACTCCCGTGTCGTACGCTGTTTGCACTTGGATAGACTGACGCGTAGTGCTGCACCTTTCAGCATGTGCTTTGCATCTTCATAATGCAAAGCACTGTTGCAGGATTGGGCCGACACACTTGTTTTAGCTATCACCGAAAAGCCACTGGAAGTAGTGAATAGGTTCATTTACCTTTTGGTAGCTGTGTAACCCCTGGTGGTCACCTCATTGATATGGTTACTTCGCGTGTCAGCAAGGTCCACGTGACTTTCCAGCGACTCAACCGCCTACGGATAAGGCGGGATATCAGCCTATCAGTGAAAGGTAGGGTGTATAACGCTGCGATAAGATAGGTATTACTGCGTGAATCAGAGACCTGGCTAGTTCGCGGCGAAGACATTAAACGGTTGGACGTGTTTGATCACCGTCGCTTGCGGAGTATTTTTTCACCTCTGGTGGGAACACTTGATGAGCAAGCCCTAAAGGCTCGAGTTGGTTTCTGGAAAATAAACTTTCTTTTGTATCAGTGCAGTATCTATCCAACTTGAGCCGCTTACCTTGGCTAGGTCTTGTCTTCCGTGTACCGATTGACTTCCTTAGTGCGGGCTATATGCCGTGGCTACTCTAAGTTTGGCGATCCCGCGAGGTGGCCAGTCGATGATGTGGCATAAAAGCATGAAGAAATTGTCCGGGAGAATTTTCCAACTTTGTGCTTGCCTTCTTCGTGGTTAGTGGCTTACAAATGGTCCACATCATGGTTGATACTATTGGACACGACGCGTTCGCACGATCATTGGCGTTCTTGCATTCGGATTGCTACATCTAATTTACAATTTTTCATCGTGATTAGTTTTACGCACTTTCTCCTTGGCTCCATTTTCTGTTTGTTCTGTTTGTTTTCAATCTTATTTTCTTACCGTTGTTATTTATCGTTTACCAATACTGTGACATGGCGGATTTGACTCGCCCTTAACTTAATTCCCCGCTCCTTGCTTCATCCCGGTGGAACACTGTAGTCCAGAGGACGGACGCGGGATGTATTGGGCGCCCGTTTGGCAACTTAATGAGCAACCCAATGGGCACAATTCCCTAATTGCTCTTCTGCCTTAAGGGCAAGGTTAGACAACTAGGTAATAGCACGCCCACAGAATAAAACGTGAACCATTTCGGATTTTTCGGTTCTCTTTACGGTAACCGTACCTTCCATTGAATTCCGTTGTTTTTTATGGCTCCATGTCTATTTGTAGGCTGCTGAACAAGTTAAGAATATTTATCTCTCAAGCCAAACTGTGTTTTTCTTTGTCACACACAACTGTAGGGACTCTTACGGGTTTCCAAAATGTGGTCAGACGTGATTGGTGCTGGTCATCAAGCAGTTTGGAAACTTGAAGGCATCGGTAGTACGCTGGTACAACCATACGAACGATTTGCTGCCACACAACCACCACCATTCTTGCGAGGGCTGGATACCCCCTGTGGTCGCCCGCACCTATGCAGATTCGAACCGGCGACCTCAGAAGTAAAAGCAAACAAATGCACAGTCATTTCGGTCACCGGCCGATAGTTTGGCAACTTTACAGGCGGCAGATACTGCCGCCTAATTCACCTCTTCGACATGTCCTCGTGTTAAGTCAGAATCCCGGCATCAGAGTGCTCACCGGCTTTAGTAAAATTTAGACGATTAAATGCCTACAAAAATGTCAACCCGCTTCTTTCCATCCACCTAGGTTCACACCATGGTGGTTCGGGGTGCAGTTATTGTTCGCCATGTTTTTTCACCGACGGAGAATCTCAACCATCTGTGCGTATCTCCTCCGTGTTTTGATTGACAGAGATGATTGAGTGAATGCACGCGCATGTAGTTTGTGACTGCTCATCAATGGACTATTTTCTTTACTTGTACGACTTTCTCGTCGCAATGGTAGCTGACAGGACGGCTTTTCGATAGTTCCAAGTTAATACTCTTTTGGTGGATGGTGCCCACGGCTTATGTGGCGAACATTCTCATCCAACCTGCTTTCTCGCCCAGCCCATCACCCCATGATGAGTGTGAATTCTTTGGTTTTTGCAATTTTTTTTACTAAAACTATAACTCCTCATTGTTTCTCTTTCTTGGCGTTTGTAGTTGTTACTATATGTTATATGACAAGTTGGATTCTCTGTTCCGCGAAACAATTGAATTTTGCTTTGGTTTCGGCCAATGTTAGGAGTGGTTCCCCCTTTCTTAATTATGCGCCAATCTTTTACGCCCCACTTCTCAATTAACGGTTTTTGCTCTCTCAACTCTGTTCTCTTGTGACATTTCCTAATTGTCCCCAATTGCAGATTATTGTGACCATACCCGAGCACTGGGATGTGCTCTCTAGACGTTGGAAGCAGCGCAAAAATGTGCAGAACGTCAACCTTTTCATCGCGGACAACCTTCACTTGGTGGGCTCCGAATCCGGTCCGGTGCTCGAAGTGGTCTGTTCTCGGATGCGTTACATCAGCAGTCAATTGGACAACCCCATTCGCATTATCGGCCTGGCTCACAGCTTGGCGAATGGTCGAGATGTGGCTAGTTGGCTTGGCTGTTCCTTCGCAGCGACTTACAACTTTCCAGCTGTCGCTAGGCCCGTTCCTCTGGAACTTAGTGTCATTCCGTTCAACATCTCACACCAAGCCTCTCGTCTCCTGGCTATGACCAAACCGATCTTCCAGCTAATTATTCGCTTGGCTGTGACCCAGAGCCCTCCCGGTAGTCTTCATCCCTTGCAACGCAAGCCGACTCTTATCTATGTGCCCACCAGGCGCCAAGCACAGCGTACGGCGTTGGATTTGATAACCATATCCGCAACGTGTGCGGCTTCTGGCTCATCATCATCGTCCAAGTTTGTACCGATTTCGGGTCACCTGGAAGAGGCACTTTCACGTGCAGCCGATCAGCTAGCTGATCATGCCCTATCTGAGGTCGTTCGCCACGGTGGAGGAATTGCTTACTTGCACGAAGCTATTTCCAAGGCAGATCGCCGTTTGATCGAAGTTCTATTCGCTGCTGGTGCGTTGCATACTGTGTTAGTTTCCCGCGCTTTGACCTGGTCCTCTGCTTCTACCAGCCCCCTTGCCGCCTATCTGGTCATCGTAATGGACACACAGGATTACAATGGAAAAATCCACGCCTACGAAGATTATCCGATTGTAGATCTATTGGAGATGTTGGGCCATGCTAATAGACCCAATGTGGATCCGGATGCAAAGGCCGTTGTTTTGTGCCACTCGGGCAAGCGCGATTTCCTCAAGAAGTTCCTTCATGACCCATTGCCAGTGGAATCCCATCTGGACCACGCGCTTCATGACCATTTCAACGCAGAAATTGTCACCAAGACGATAGAGAACAAACAGGATGCTGTGGACTATCTAACTTGGTCATTCCTATATCAACGTATGACTCAGAATCCCAACTATTACAATCTTCAGGTAAGCTCACGCTGCTGTGTTGCTGCTGTCTTTTCAACATGTTTTATTCTGATAAAGCTTTTTGCCACCTAACACAAGGTATGTATGTGTGTAGTAGAGGGAATATTTCACATGATGAGGTGCAGATCTACTAGGCCATTGTTTCAATTGTAGGAAATCCCGCGTAACTTGTTCCGATTGTTCAATATTCGGAAACTACTTTGCCGTTTCCCCTCAAAAGAATCGATTGTTTCCTGGTAGACATTTTATACACCTACTAAAAAAACAAGGGAAACCACTCGGTGGTTACCATTGTCAGCCCATCAAAAGATGTGACGCATTCACCCGAAACGCATTTAAAGCTCATCGGATTAGGATTATTGGAACAAGATGATGCTTGCCGATTTGTGTAAAGTCGCCTACGATTCCATATGTCATAAACAAAATGAATCAACGTTGGTAAACTCTGCGGTTGGCCACTTTCAATTTTCCTGTTTTCCCCGTGTCTTCACAGGGCGTTACTCACAGGCATTTAAGTGATCACCTGAGCGAGTTGGTGGAAACCACCCTGACTGACCTGGAACATTCAAAGTGTATATCCATAGAGGATGGTATGGATCTATGTCCCCTCAATCTGGGCATGATCTCCGCCTACTACTACATCCAGTATAACACCATTGGTAAGTTCGTGTATTTCACTTTGTGTCGCACCTTTCTTCGCAGATGTTATTTTGTCTCTTGCGAGATTCTTTAGCGTTCAAGAACATGCGGTTTGAGCAAATTTCCTCTACTTTGGCCATTTCGTCCACATTATCTTGTCAACTTTTCATGTTCTGCTTCTGGGTAATTCTTGGATCTAAAGCCGAAAATTCCGACACCATGTCTTGTGTTTACCTTGCGGGCAGCTATTTCCTGAGTTCCCCACGACAAGTGTGGTTCGCCAGATCTGTCATGTATCTTCTTTCCCCTTTAACTTTGTGATAGAAATGGTCATGAATGACGCGGCTCTCTTAGACTCCCCTGGGGTTAAGGTTTTGCCAAGCGATTGGCTGACAGACCTGAAGTGAATGAGATCTTGCGTCTAACGCGACAGTTTTGCAAGCACTACTGCATAGACTGACAAGTAGTGTTGCACGCCTCGGCAAGTGCTTTGTACCTTCAAAGTGTAAAGTATTGTTGCAAGACTAGGCCGATATGCCACCGGTTCTAGCTGTCACTGAACAGCCACTTGAAGTGCTGTGTCAGCTCACTTGTATTGGCGCCTGTGTCACCTCACTGAGAAGGTTACTTCGCGTATCAGCAAGGCGTTTCAGAAGCAGCCTTTTATGAAGACGACGGATATCACAGCAAACTGACCGTTTCTGATCAACGGTGCTTGCGGAGTGTTACTCACGTTTAGTGGTAACACCGGGTGAAGTCCGTCAGGCGATTTTTCGCACCGAACCCTCTAGTGCCTCATTGGGGTGTTTACTGAAGCCTAACCGCTTACGTTGGTTAGTTTATGTTCTCCGTATGCCCTTTGACCTCCTTCCTCTCTGAACCAAGCCGCGATGTGACCAGTTGTTGACCTAGCATAAAAGCATGAAAAACTAGTTGGGAGATATTGTCTCACACTGGTACGTGATGTCTACGTGGTTGGTGGCCTTGTGAGGATCCACACCAGCGGATGGGGACTACCAGACATGGCGCAGTCAGCGGCATTCCTCCATTCGGATTCTTGCAACTAGCTGTTAACTTTTATTCCCTTCTTATTAGCTCAATGCGCTTCCTTCATTGATTCTATTTTCTTTGTACTCTATTTGCGTTCAGTCTCGTTTTACCGCTGTTATTCATCGTTACTCTGGCGACGTCATTTAGGGCAACGGGATCCCCCGCATTACGATGCCCGGATCATTGTTGTTCAGTTGAACTGTGCACAACATTAGTAATGGTAACAGGATAATAACGGTGACAACAGCAACACCATCAGCGCATTGTTGCAACACAACGCATTGGTCCGAAGTTGGCGCCGGTGCTTGCCACGCCAAAACATCAGCAGCTCTGGATCACATTTGAAATCGGTTGGGGTTCTTCACGGAAGTTTGGCTTGGCTAGGCAGACAAAATCACTGCTCTGGGTATACACCCCATTCCCGCAACTAGTGATCCATAACTTCGTTTGACTAAAAACATCTGTTTCACATTATTTACTGCAACGAGTTCAGCTTTAGTTATATATTCTTCTATTTGCACATCTACAATCGGATATCCACACAACAATACATCCAATCAGTTTGTTTCACAATCAATCCTCTTCTTTGGCAAACAACCCTTGGCTTGCGAAGTGCACTTGCAATACGTCGCACTGCGCCATTGCGTTCGGTTTCATTATTGACGTCATTTCACTCGATCTTTTGTTTGAAAACTACCCTTTCTGGTCGTCTTATACTTCGTAGGACTGCTTTGTTGAACTCTCTCCTTGATTTTCCCTGTTTTCCCTACAAGGCTGATGACGCGTGTAATCCTAGCTGGGTCCACTACACTTCGGTGCCCACATCACAGAGCTTAACCAATTTACCTATATTGAGCTTGGCACTAATTTCATCCCTCCAGAATACAACGGCAGAATGTTGAGTAAGGTCAGAAAAGTAGTCAACGTTACACATTTAACTAACGAGATAATCCCCGCAGAAGCACACGCTTACGAAGATGATTATGGAACTTCTGTAGCTTGCCATTACTGGAAGTGGATGTTTAAGACGTACATACTATCAGCACCTGTGGTGACTGCACATTGCAGAATCTACTAAAATCATTAACGATGTTCGAAGTAACTGTGCTCCATCCTTAAAGTTTAGCGCTTGTCACAGCTGACTATCAACTCGGAACGTTTACTATCTTCAGTTTCCATATAAGTAGCAACTGTAAGTACGTGATCATATGGCAGTTGACATCCTTTGTTCACTTCGAACTTGGTGTCAGTTGGTGTTTCCCGACTGCTTGGCTGGGGACAGAAGAATGATGAACACCTTTGGTTGGATACACTAGCTGATATGGCGAAGAGTCGACCTCAATGGCGTTTGTGTTGTGAGTCTCTTTGTCCCTCTTCTTCCCCTTAGCTTTACCCTCCAACAACCGTCAAAAATGGGATATTAGCATCATGTTACGTTTTTTATAGCTTGTAAGTCGTCTACACTGCTTAATGTCTTACTTTTTGTATTACGGCACATTAGCTGAAGTATGTTTCTCACCCTCGGCTAACGTGTATTGATGATGACGACATCATTTGTTGTTTTCTTCATTAATTTTTATTTCTCTTCATGGGATACAGAATTACCTGGTGGCGGATTCCTGGCCAAGTGTGTTTTGAAATATAAATGTTCCGGAGAGATCAATTTATCATGCTGCTTAGTGAAAGCAGATGACGAATAGTGACCGATACGCATCTGCGCTTTCCAAACACATAGATGAGCACGTATTAGTCGGGAGACGCACATTTGCGCTCGCTGTGATCGGTAACGAGTGTTAGACTGGCGAAAAAACGATCCCCATACAAACTGATCGTTCCCAATCCCTTCTGAAGTCATGAGTTCTCGATCAGTTCTAAGCATTTTCTAGAATTTCAACTCCATATGACCTCTTTTTCTGTCTTATTTACAGCCAAGCACCATAGATGAAGACGCATAGACACGGTGTATTGCCTGCTATTCAATTCGCTTTGACTATCACCTGAACATCGTTTTGCGTCATCACTAATTAGTAACTTGTCTTCCAATTTTTCGTTAGCGATTGGCAATGACAGCGCCTCTATAAGGTTACGAGCTTCGAGCGTTCCGATAGTGCGCCAGCATTCATCGTTATCTAAGCTTGACATTGAATGTCACCTATAGTGCCGAAAACATCGCAGCACCCCACCCATGTGCCGCGGGAACATGGGGTACAATAAATATGGTGGTAATACGGTAGGTCAGCTACGCAGTACAAATAGTCCTGTGATTTGCCAAAGCAACGGGTCGCACGAATGACCCGAAATATTGTGTTTTCCATACACCTGCTGCGATTGGTTGCCAATGCACCAGTCATTTTTGGCCACATGTTCTTCGCGTAGTTCGTTTCAGCACTGTGCATCTCTGTTTTTCTTTTTCACTCACAGAATTGTTCAGTCTTTCCTTGACTGGCAAAATGAAGATTCGTGGCCTTTTGGATGTGATCAGCAACGCTTCCGAATTCGACAGCCTTCTCCCTGTGAGACACCACGAAGATGCATTGCTCCGCCAGCTCTCCTCCAAGGTACCACAAAAGTTGGCACCGAAGGCCAAATTCTCCAGCCCACATGTGAAAGCGAACCTGTTACTTCAGGCACATCTATCACGTCTACAGCTCCCAACGGAGATGCAGACTGACACGGACCGTTTGCTCGGTTGCACAATCCGACTTATTCAGGTGAGTTATCGCCTCATTACAAAATCTCCCACTGTTCGTGTTCGGCGTTAGTTTCAGTACTTGACCCAACTAAAACATGGCTGCCTGTGATGCCACCTACAGAAGCCTCTATTTTGCTGCTTTTCCGCTGTCAGTCATTGTCCACTAAGTTGGTTTTTCACATAGAATCCATGTAGATAGGTTCTTTATTCCTCACATTCATGTCCGTTTGACAAATCGACTCACCTCTACCGCCTGAGTCTGAACTATCCCACGCCAGGCCTGTCTTGCTGCTTTCGTCCCTGTGAGTCGAATTCGTGTTACTGAGTTCAACGCAAACGGTGATCACAGCGTGTGCTGACCAGTGAACCGTAGGTTAGTCACCTCGTCCATATGAAATTGCTCCTGGTAATCTGCATCAGCCGGCCGCGAGTGCTCTTGGTATATGTGATTCCATGTATCTATGCGCACGACGTGAGATAAAGCACCATAAGATTCGACTCTCGGCCGTCTCTCGCCAGACCTGTTTATTTGGAGGCACCTTTTGGGTGTTCTCCGATTCCCTACTCTCTAGACCCAGAGTACGAAGGAACATTTACATTGTAGTGTTGGTGAAAGTGGGGCGTACGTTGTCAACTAGACGATGTCTCGTAGTGCAAAAGTTCAGACGAGTATCGCCTAGCCATCACTGTGGTGTGATGCTGAAGACGTCAATCCGGAATCTACCACCTTCTGCTATTGGCTCTCGGTCCTGACTATCTGTGCCCGGAAGGGCCCAAACAAGGACGAAGCCGGCGATGCAATGTGCTGTTGGGAGTGAACCGCAAGTAACACTTCGAGATGAGTGTGGTTTGCTTCACATTAACTAACGACACAAATAAGGGTCACGTGCTGCACTTCACGCATACAACGGATACTCCAAAAAGTTTACTACCTGTTTGAGATTTTCTTACGATGTATATATATCAGCCGTTCACTCGTGCCTTATTTCGTGATTCCTTATTCGTGTTGGAACACACATCGTCTTACGGATTGTGCAAATGCTATTTGATTTGCTAAACTCGTGCGCTCACATTTCTGCCTACCGTTTATTTTCACACCATATCAGGCCTGCGTCGATGTGCTGTCCAGCAATAGTTGGCTCGGTCCTGCTCTGGCAGCAATGGAATTGTCTCAGATGATTACACAAGCGGTTTGGCACAAAGACTCTTACCTGCGCCAGTTGCCTCATTTCACAGCAGAACGTATCGCCAAGTGTCGAGACGCCAAGATTGAAACTGTGTTTGATCTAATCGAAATGGATGATGACGCACGCAACAAGTTACTCAGTGACCTGACCCAAACCCAAATGGCCGATGTGGCCAGGTTTTGCAATCGATATCCGAACATCGAAATCAGTTACGACGTGGTCAATGCATCCGGGGGTAACATAAACAAGTCATCTGTTCGAGCGTGAGTATCTTTCCTCGTCCATTGCTCCATCGCAACCTTTTCGCACATCGCAGCGTTCACAATAAGCACCCTAGTACAGAAGATATGTTCGAATTCAAACCGGGTTGCGTTGGTTCGAGCACATGCCACACATGTGCTCACCGCCTGTCGAGAAGAGCTTCACCTTATTAGCGGTATCGAAGATAAAATAAACTGCGGTTGGATTTACCATCAACTCATCAGTGGAGAATAAAGTCATTTATCTCATGCTCAGGTGCTGTATGGGTAGGGGTCCTTGCGACGTGTTTTACGCTTGGCTCGAGACAATAGTCATAACCGGACTGCGCGTTGAAAATACATGTGGATCGACGCAATGGAAGCCGAAATGAAACGTTTTCATCCATACATTCTCATTATAACAGGACATTCGTCCGTTTTCAACCGTTTTATACTTTTAGCCTGTTCACTTCGACTCTGAATGTTTGCTTACTTGGATTCAGGCAGTCGTTAGTCCCTCCTTAAACTCTTATTAATGGGAGCTGCTTACAATTTTTTGATCGTATAACAGCGAAGCACCAGCACAAATTACTCTGATGTCCTACTATTTGTGCTTATGATGATCTTTACTGAAACTTGTGCATCGAATTGCGGTCACCTGCGGTTAATGCGGACTGCCATTTGTCCCTATTAGTTTCCAGCATGCGGTCTGCCGTTCGCATCTGTCGGTATCCTCTTGCTCGTTATCTTCTGCAGCTTAGGGTTCTGAACTCTCTCTTTAATGGTTGTATATTCCAGATCATTTTGATTCAATCTGTTTTCATCCCAGGCTATAATGATTAACCGTTTACTTTAGTAATATGTGCAGCTCCTGTCAATATGAGTTAGTAGTGGAGAGGGAAAAGAGCAGCTATGTCTTTTGTCTTTTCCGCATGCCGTTTTTCTCCATTTGGTCGTTTTCTTGACTCTATGCTTAGGAAATGTATGCAAACATGTACACAGCGTTTTCACGGCAATCGAACTGTCATTGCTTCGAGCGCTGTAAGCCAGCGACATTCATGCAGGGGACCTCAGCTTGGAAGACGTATGGGACCAACGAAGGTTAGGCAAAAATTCAGTGATTTTATACGTTGCCATCAACTGGTGGGCTGGCCCCCGCGGCCTCTTCCACTGAGTCTGCGTGCGCAAAACCAGCCATGCGTAGGACGCGGCCAAGCGACCTCAACAGGCGCAGCATATTCACTATTCGTGAAACAGCATTATCAGTCAGAATTGCATCATCAACTGTCATTAGTGAATGAAATGGATGAACTGAATGAGGACTGGAATCGCCAATGTTCTGTGTGGAAGGCCTTCGAGTTCACTTGTTCGCCAAACTGGGGCGTCTGAATAGTGGATGGATTTCTTCACTTCCACAACTTCGATTGAACGGTGATGTCGCACGGGCCGTTTCAAAGTATCCATGGCATCTTGAAACGGTGTGTAACTTTGAGTTACAAAAATGGACCGAGAGCACTCACTGATGTATGGCAAAAACCCGTGAGCATCATTGGGAACATCAGGGTATTGTCTTATTAAACTAAAGGTCCCATAGATACCCTCGTGAGTTTAACGCTAGCTGAGACAGATGGACGGATGTTTCAAGCACAATAGCTGAAACGCTGAGCCGGCTGCCTTGAAGATTAGTGCAGGCTGGTCGGCGTATCGGAATTTCTGATTGGGTTATCTGAACCCCTCACCTATGACGTTGACGTAACACCTGTCACGGTCGACAACATCTAACGCGAATTTGTGCTACTGAATCGAAACATTGGGCCTCGACGCGACGACCTCCGTGCGTCGTTGCTAAAAGACGGTGGTAACTCAATGTTGGCTGCTGTACTCAACACTGTCTGGTTCAATCAGAATGTGCCTTTTGCCTGGCGGTTTTCGACTGCCATTCTCATCGTCAACAAGAGTCAGATGGCACCTTGCGAGAATCCTGGTAGTGTCTATCTAATATTTGTAGTTTCCAGAGGACTGACGTACCCTGCAACATCTGCTCACTGAACCTTGTGGGATTCGAACCAGTGAAAGTCAGATTGGTTTCCGCGCCGGCAAAAACTGCGTTGCATGCGTCCCTACTCTTCGATAGGTACGCGAATGTCGCCATACAGACAGTCCGCTATGGACTATTTTTACTCACTTGTTTGCAGCACTACCTAACTTTGAACATTCCTGGAGGCCTCTATTCCACGACCTCCAACGCTATATGCTAGTCTACGGGTAACTGTTCCTTGAGCTCGCCATGGTGAGTAGATCTTGTCAACCTACTCCCTCTATCCATCTTACTTTAATTCTGTGACCAAGTATATTCTGAGTGACTCTCTTCTGCCTTGCTTTACTTCTTGTTAGGCTGGATTTCTTTTGAGTGGCCTACTGCCAAGTATTCTTTTACCGACTACTACGCAAGCGCTCCTTGACTTGGCACATGCTTTGCATCCACAAAGAGACAGGCTGTTATGGAACTGGTGGACACATAAGCAGTTCTCAAAATTACTGGAAATTGTCAGTCCATTTATTTATTCAGACAGCTGCCTTTCGGTAGTCACGTATCCGAAGCAGTTACTCCACGCACTGACTAGATTCATGTGGTTTTTCAGAGCTTCTGTTACTTACAGGGCGACAAGGTATATGCTTATTGGTTTAGACAGAGTTTAGTAACACTGCTGAATACCGTAATATGGAAGCAAGTAGAAATTTACATCTGCACAACTCCGTCGAAATAAGATGAAAAGCGTTGAAAAATAAAAAGGATAACCGGTCAACACTGATCATTATATAAGTTCACACGTGATATCACAAAAACGTATAACTCACAGTAATGGACTAACAAGTGTGGGATATTATCGTTAATACGCAATCGCTCTCGGAATCAGACAGCGGAAAGGTGTAAATTTAACAATATTTTGAACTGCTACGACATCACTCTCGCTCTGAAGGGTAGAGTGTACAAGGCTGTACTGTACAGTTGTGAAACCTGCCCCCTTAGATCAGCGGACATAAACAGGCTAGTTACGTTCGACCACTGGTGCCTTCGCAATTTAGCTCACATCTGGTGGGAACACCGAGTAAGCCACAAGCGTGTTCGACGCTTTGTTTAAGACACAAGAAAAGGAAATGAACCGCTCAGCACCGTTATTTCATGCACCAGGCTTCAATGGCTCGGCCATGTGTTACGCATGCCAGCCCACCGGCTCCCGCGACGTGCCTTGTTTGCGCGTCGAGAGTGTGGATGGAAGAGGATAAGGGGTGTCCAAGCGATGATTTGGTCGAGAGGAATGAAGGCCCTCACTTCGAAGCTGGCCTCGGTTGAAGCGTCTCGGCTCCTGGTTGGCGTCCGAAAGACGGTGAACATATTTGGCTGGATACCCTTGCTGACATGGCTAGGAGCCACCCTCAGTGGCGTTTGTGTTGTGAGTTTCTTTGTCTCACCCCTCCAACCACGATCTCATTTCTTTGCATAATAAATTTCTTTTGCTGCATAATAGCCGGTTGATAGATTTCCGGAACGATGCCTATCCGTTACTGGTAGCTCAGCTAGCAAGCAACTGTTGCATTTTTTCTTTTAGGTATTGCGGCACAGTAGCTGAGGTGTTTTCCACCTCTAACTAACGTGTATACTAACGACGATGATGATGACCGCTGCACTGAGTTTACCCATACTCAAAGGCGTAGTAAGGGGAGTGCGGGATGGGGGGAGGGGCGGTCTGCCCCGGTTGGCGTGTGACAAGGGAGGAGGCATTTTTAGTGCAGATGATTATTCGATGCCAAGTGTAAATGGCAAAATTTCCGGATAAGCCGATAGTTGAATATTACAAGATTCTCCTAGTTAACCAACAACATATTTGCGCCAGCTGTCGCAACTGTGTATCGTCTGTTTCTTCTCGACATTGCACACACACATCGCATCCCCCCGCTGCAGTTATCCGGGAACGGACTACATTGCCATCCATCCAGTAGTAGTAGTGTGTCAGCTGTATGCCGCAACGGCGCCTCGCTGCCATGCGATCACCACAAGTCGCACGCGGGCTGAGTATACCGCGAGGACGCCCACCCCTACGCGGATTCGAACCCACGCCGCAAGATTACAAGATCGTTACCTCTAGGCTACGGGCCGACCACCCATACAACATCGGTTAGCAACGGGAAGCGTCTCTTCGTTTCGCGGCTTCTTCGGCCGTTGGGTTTCTGTTGTGTAGGAGCCCAACGACTGCTTCCACCCACTAACGGTAGTAAGAACACCAACGACCGGGCAACAATGTTCACGTAGCAAGCCAAACCGGCCACCAAGCGTCTGTCTGTGCAACTCAATCACGATATTCACATAAGGGCATATCACAGGCCATGCGGAAAGGCTGGCATTCGATCAGTCAAGGCTGGTCAGTTCAAAAAGCGCGGGGTCGATAAGTTGCCGCACGAACGAACGAAGTACACAAAGTAAGAGAAAGCTGATAAGCGTAAGATTCAGTGTCCATACAGGCTAATCACAAATGTGAGGCAAAAGTGAACGTATGCGAGGAAGCGGAAAAGAGGGCAGAGTGAGTAGGGGTGAGTGGGGCAGAACTCACAAAACAATGGAGAACGGTGGAGTATTCTTACCTTCGTTTCCCATGGCTCCTCAGCAATCGGGCATTCATTATTCAGGCATTTAGAACTATCAGAGCACAAAGTTATTGGATCATTAGCCAAAGTTGGTGTCATGGTTCTGGAAAAATCAGCATAGTGTGATGAATTTTCAAGCGGAAGGCTAGATTGAACCTCAGATGGAATCTAGGCCAGGTTGTGTGACCATGTGTCTATAACTGCTCACATTTTGGACTACGGTCTGCCTCGGTAGATGTCATACCTCTCTCTGGTTGCCTTCCATTGCGGCAGTCGCTGCACAAAATTTGGATGAAATTATGTTGAATGGGACACAAATGATAGGAATCGGCAGATAATCCAAAACACGAAATATGAAAGACAGCACATCAATCGAAGCACGTAAATGTATTTGCCGTGTGTCCAACAATTTTCGAACAGGAACCACAAAGTGATTTCTTCGGCACTTTTGAGAAATAGCCGGAATTCGTAAGGCCGAACTTTGCGGAAAGTTGCTACATAAAATACGGTCAAAAATGCAGAATTAGAAATGACATTGAATGATACCGAAATTTCCACGTGATAACTCCAAAGCACCGATAAAGCCACCAAGATTCTGCCGCTGTTTTTGTATAGATCAGAGGCTTGATCAGTTCGTGCTGATAGCCTGGTCATCTTCATCATCACCGATAACTGCGAAATATTGCTTATATCTGCACCGACCGATTTACGCTAAAGTTTGCCATTCTGCGTTTGGCAATACCTCCTCTGGTGTCACACTGAAATGCGTTCAACTCGAGAATCGCTAAAGCTGGCCAGGTCACATGTCCTTCTCATATCTGCTAACAGGAATACCTGGGCATTGCCTGTCAGTATTGAGCGTAGTTGGTGAGACTCCACGGAAGCCACCAGTGACGTGGCAATAAAACAACAAAACTGGAGGGGGTGCATCTTGATCGAACATATCACTGACTAAATATTCCATCGAGCGTGACGCAGTCTCGTAGCAAGCGTCTCTCTTGTACTTTTTCTTCCATTTCTTACTCTCGACCATTCCATCGGCGAGTTCAAGTTATAGTTTCTCCAGCATTGTTTTCATTATTACTGCTATAATGGTGGTGTGCGTCAAGTAAATTGGTTCTACTGCGCTTCGATGCACAGACCACGGTTGCACATCCCACTGAATTGATCGGTTGGTTTCGGCAGGCATGAGCAGCTGCCTGTCCCTACGTTGTTTGCGTGAATTGTTGAGTCTCCTCCGTTTTTCGGGGTGAAGGAGGCGATAAGTGGTTGAGAGCACGAGGACTTTTATGTTTTTTCCTAATTGCAACCAGAGAGCTGGGCACAATCACTGTGGTGCATTGACTAAAGTCATCTTAATTAGTTCAACTGTTTCATTCACGTGTCGCACCCTTACTCAAGGTTGAATAATACCGCATTTGTGCGAAGTTTGTTAGCCCTGGTTTATTTTCACGTGCACGGTGTTCTGTCTTTGTTCAGTGGCGAAACGGTGACTGTGAACGTATCCCTGGAAAGAGAGGAAGACAATGTTGGCCCCGTTATTGCACCTTTCTTTTCGCAAGTGAGTACATATTGTCCACTCCTTCCAAGGGTTTCTAGCCATCCATTCATATGTGGCCTGTTGCGCCAGACATATTTAAACGAATGATCATGAATTGTTGTACAACGAAGTAAATACTGTCGGATGCTTGCATACCCATCGTATACAACTGGTTCCAGTAGTGATTTGTGTCTTTGCTTTACTACCACTCAGCCGCAAACAGTCGTGCGTGGATTTGGATGCACCAAAAGCCCCTATAACCATGCGAGAACAGGGACTGGGACTCGAGTCGTAGAGTTTACAAGCCAAACTCATGAGCCATTATACCACAGATCGCGTCCGATAGTCCCACTACTGCCTGAGGGTGACTTCTCACCGCATTCAGACAATGCGGTCCGAGGTCTTCGTTCCAGTGTTAGGTTCAACTAGAGACTCAGTGGCCCGATCGGTGCCGGAGTGGTTCAGGCGTTTTGCACCCAATCCACGAGTTATCATTTCGATTCTGCGTAGGTGCGGATGACCTCGCAAATCCACGGTTCGTGAGAAATTGCTGGCGTTCGTGTGACACCGAAGCATCATTGCGAGGCTTCGGTGTATTGCGGATGCTTTTCTACGGTTCGGACCTGTGTGTATGGTTTGCACGCCGATTCCCACTAATTTTTACATCGGAGCCTGATAGCCACTGATTTAATACACTGGACTATACGTATTCACTCGTGGTGTATGTTGTGTTTAATCTCCAAGCATTATCATGACTCCAGGGTTGCTACCGCGTGGAGCCACTCACAAGCAGAGGGCCTACGCATGTTGCTGGAGTGTAGACCAACTCTGAATCCACCGTGGTTCTTCCTGACACATTTTTCCCTAAATTTACGCAGGACATGGGTCGGATGTGTGGATGTTACAGCACATGTCACCTGTGATTACAGTCACGACAGGTGGAATTTCAAAGGGATCAGACAAGCTCAGAGATTGGCAGATTCATATAGCAAACCTTGCGGATGGTGCTGCTCTACTAAATATCTCTCCTACAAATTACGGTCCAACCTGCTATGGCGGCCACTTTTCTATGACAACCAACCAAAGACATCCCCAACGTTTTCTTATATGAGTAGTGTCTCTATGCATGAACCTGTCCAAGGTGACCACTTTTTGCCGGTCCCTTGACAGGTTTGACTGTACAAACCAACATCTTTCGCACATTTAACCATCTTCCTCTCTTGTGTTTGATTTTAGCCCCGCGAAGAAGGCTGGTGGTTAGTGATTGGTGAACAAAAGACTAACTCGCTTGTCGCCATCAAGCGGCTCTTTGTCACACAGTCCATGAAGGTGCGACTAGATCTGACTGCACCCACGCACTCGGGCAGGCACGAATTCACCCTCTTCTTCATGTCAGACGCCTACATGGGTTGTGATCAGGAGTACAAATTCACCATGGACGTTCGCGAGGGTGCCGGCGGCCGCTCACATGCTGACTGAAGCACCCGATTTCCCCTCCCCCTTCACACTTTGATAACTCGCACCTCACAGCCACCACTTTGTTGTAAATGCATTTTTCGAATTTCTGCCCTTCATCTTTGCTGTCTTCCGGCCTGCTCGCTAAATCCCGTACGCTCATTCTTGCTGACCAACTTAATGTTAACGGTATTGAGGCGAGTGCGACGTGCATGTTGCCGGACGATTCGACCCGATAGTGTGACGCACACAATGGGATGATTTGTTGAATTTTTATACCAAGCCAAGCAAGTCCGTTTCCTTCTAGGAAGCTGAGGTTGGTCGCTGTGTGGTATAGGTAAATGAATACGATACAGGTGCCTCTGTATCTAAGTTGATAGTTAAATGCACGCGTTTCGTGAAGCCGGTCTCATTCAATTATTGTAAAGCCAAGGAGCGGGTAACGTAGTCATCGGTAGACCGATACACGCTGCCGCATGATTGACCTAGACTTAGGTAGCTTGTGAGCACTCAACAAGTGATATCGACGGGCGCATGAAACATCCACCATATTCCTAAGCACGCTGCATCACCTATCGGCATTTCACGTGCTCGACACAATTTCCTCGAGCGATTCTGAGTCACATTATAACCACTTTCCACTCGACAAGTTCTATGATTTCTACTGTATCTCACTCCCTCAAACTCGCTTGCCTCAGAAGCGGAGAAATGTTCATGTACCATGAGTGCGCTTATGAATGCTTCTACTAACTGTGCTATTTTCCTGTTTTCACGCGACTGTTCGCCCCAAGAATTTATGGGTTTTACACTTCAACATGTCGTCCCCAGTGAAACGGCTGACACACATCAAATATTTCTGGATAGGTGCCTTCACTTTACTCCCAAAAGTACGACCAGCATACCGTACAAGCGACCTGTTAAACTATTCGCTGTATCCCCATGAATTTTTAGTGCACCAGCTGTTTACCAGCTTTCATGACTAATATCAATATGGAATCTGTCGGTTGTGTCTGTTGTGAGTGCGATGCAGCCGGAAGCGAACTGAGGCAAACGGACAGAAACTGAACAGTCATGAACTCGGTTGCTAAAGCAGCGTAGCTGTTTTATAAATAAGTTGGTCTATTCCTCGATAAGCGGGATACGTTCACTTTTGTGTTCTGTAATCGCGGTGCATGCTTCACTGCGCTGTTCACTGTTGTCAACTTCAGCTAAAGATCAGCCTACACGCAGGACTCGAACGGATCCTGGCTCCCGTAAAAGATTGACATTAACCCATTTTCTGCTGGCGTCTTTAGAGGGCACTTCCTAAAACGCAGTTTAATTAGGACAAGAGTTGTCTTTGATCTGTCCCGTCGGCAATTTGATTGCCACCTACTGCTATTAAAGATTTTTGAGAACGCAGAATCTGTAAATCGAGATGTTTCGGATTATTAGCCGCATTTATCCGAGATTCTAGTAGGAACGTTGAGATGGCGTCGGCATTTTTGTTTTCTATTACAAGTTACTTGCGCACAACATGGGTTGGAGTGGTAAATCCCGTCGAATTTCCATTAGAACTTGTCCATTGCGGTGGATTTGACTGTCTTGGCTCGCGAAGCCAGCCCGCAAGCTAAAATATCACAAACTTGCCTTGTAATCCGAAGGCGTGTTAGAGCCTGCGTAGCGGACCGGGCGACCTTTGCAGTATCCGTAACCCACGCGCGTCTGCTACTGGTTGCGCGGCAGCGAAAAGTCGGTACTGCGTACCGGCGTACTCCTGGCTCGCGAATCCATGAATAACGTCAAGACGGTTGGGGACATGAAAGAAGCTAAGGGTAAGATCGAGTTATTGTGAGTAGACAAGAACGCCACGATTATAGGATGAGAGAGAATTAACTGCAAGGCAACAGAAGATCTGGTTCAGGAGCGAATTTGTGCCTGTCAGAATCCATTTAGTGCCCAACTCTGAGGCCCAGTTCAGACAGATGATAGGCACCAGCCCACTCGGCCAATCTTTTACTTTGTTAGGAGAATCAATATTTTACATTCAATTTTTGTGAGCGATCTTAGTTGCCGTTCTCATTCTTCCTGCCCTCTACCTCTTGATGGTTGTTTAAACGCTCCACATTAACCGATTGGCAAACGCACGTCGTTACTAATGGGCACTCACTTTGCGTGATAGTTCCAGCAGCATCATTTCTAGGAACATATTGGGTTAAATTTTTAGTTAACGTCCATTTTTGTAGCAGTTCTTAAACCTCGGGTCTGCAATTCGTCCTATCGTCATTTCGTTGTTTTGATTGGTCAATACTCGTCGTTGTGAATGGATCTTCACTTTACGGTTTGGGTCCCATAATGCCATCTCCGAGGACATACCTGATTCTTCCACGGCTGCTCATTCGCTTGTTGCATTTAGCGGTTTCCCTTGCTTGGTTGCCTCAAATGAATTTTAGTACTTTCCCTTCAAAAGCTTAAAATTATATAAGCCTGTGTGATTCAATGCATACAAGCCTTTCCAGGCTCATCTTTGGAGTTTTTCTTGCGGTCTGGGGTGAAGGCGTCGGTTACGATACAACACATTTTTGGCAATCGGCGAGTGTGCGACTTGGCTAGTGCAGGCTTCTTGAGTTCAATGAATGATCCAAGAAGCACCTCCAAAGTTTGTTAATAGAGATACATCAACCGATATTTGAAATATTCATCCAGGGTTACCGTTGGGTTCCAAGATCGGGAGGCTTTAGAAGTGCAGTTTGAAAGCTTAGTGGTACAGACTCGAGACCTGTTTCCAACCTCATCTAGGACATCGAGAACCTAAAATCTAGTCTAGTGAATAGGTGCCACGAATACGTTAAAGCCAAACTGTTACAGGGTTAGCACAGTCCTGCAAAACTCACCCAGATTTCATAGACGCCAGTACACTGCGGTCGCTATGCAGAGGCCCAAACAACTCAGTTCAGAGCTGAGCTCGCCATACGGAAACTCCCGCCAAGGGCCAACTAGTCTGCACAGATCACAACGGAGTTGTTTTCAGTGAGAATACAGCCAACGTATCCCGCATGGTTTTCAATGAACTCGCCCCAGTCTCAATATCGTATCCCCCCGGGCACTTCAAGTCATCTGTCTGCCTCATAAACTGTGTTCATGCCAATACCTTAATCACTGAGCCCTCTGAACAACTATGATGGGTTCAACATCTCAACAGCATTGAACTCACTGTATATCTGCCTGGAGATGGGACAACTACATAGCAAATTATGTGCCAAAAAATACGCCTTCCCCTATAATTTATACAATTACTACTGTTTTCATGAGGCTATAAATATGAAAACATAAAAAGCCCAATTGTCTTCATTGAGTCAGTAAAGCACTCTTACTACTGGTCAGTCTTCTTTCTGCGGGTCTCGGTACAGTCATGCGGTTTTTACGCGTTCCGTCTGCATTATCAGTTCACGTCTGCCGGCTAAGTCCACTAGGCGTGGGAAACAACGAGTGAAGAGTTCGTCCGTTCCGAGTAGAACAGTCGAAACCCAACCAGGACGTTTATAACACAAACCATCCAGTAACTGTGCTGTTCCAAGGGAACAAATGCAGTCATTTGAAGTTACGGCCAAATAAAGGACCAATAATCTGCCAGCCTGGCAGGGGCACCGGCATAGTGCTAATGGAAATGGTTGATTATATCTGCAAAATGCAGTACATCAGTGATGAATGTAAGTTCCAGAAGCTCGTAGCAGGAAAGTACAATCCATGAGTTGGAGAAACAGCTGACCGGTTGCCTCAGGCGAATGATGCAATCAAACCTTATCACGAATAGAATGTAGTATTCCTAAACCTCACAAAGAAGGCACATCAATGCGCGTAATCTTAGCCATGGTGTATTTCCTCCAGCATTTGTTGGTATGATAAATGGTGGGAAAGTTGTGACCCTTACGGCACTTACTGCGTGAGACATCTCTTAATTCAGTGAACTCAAACTTCTGAAAAGGGATGATATCATGTGATGCCCTTTCGCTGTTTACAAACATTCCGCTGTTCGAAACGGTGTAGTTCTTGTGTGGATTGGCACGGCAACCGCCATACACGCAACCTTTCCGAAAAGTTTGCTGAAGGAAGCACTAATTCGCTGCACGTTAATTGTTTGCTACATCGTCAATGGTGAAATGTACCATCAGATTGATGGGATCAGTGCCGTTCAAGGGGACCATGTGGCAAATGATATCGGACGCAAGCTCCGGTCCGCCCCAACGCGAACCTACACGACAGCCCAGTTGCGACTCAGGCATACCACGCGAGGATTTGTTCTTCATAACCGTCAGAGCATCTCGTCGAATAGTTCGGCCTCTCACATTGTTTATCAGTTCACCTGCGTTTGCGGTGACATCTATATAGACAGAACAAACCGTCAGCTCGGAGAGTAGCTGAACACAGTGGTTGGGACAAGTGATTACGCCACAAAATGGGACGAATCTGAGAATTAATCGGAGCCCGGCATCGTCTATCACCAAGCACCTCATGACAACCCGTGAACCCCGAGAGTGTTATTAGGTAACAAAAACCCGATAATGCTGGCAATTAGTGAGGCGTGTTAATCAAGGCCTCTCAACCTGTGCTATGTGCACAGAAACTCTTGAGGCAATCAATTCGGTTGCCATGGTCTTGACTGTGGCATTTTGATTGGTGGTGCTTATTTTTTGTCATGTATATAATCGTTTGCGTGTTTCTGCTCGAAATGTGGACATATCGCAACCTGTCTTCTCTCTGCCTTAACGAAAAGTGATGGGATCTCCTTTGGGACTTCTGCATACAGATATCTATGGCAAAATTGGAAAATGGCTCACTTAGGATGCAAATCGGTGGGACTGAAATGTACGTATGGTATGTTGAAGACACATACATAAATCGGAAAAACATGTGGTATAGTTGTTGAAAGGTTTTGATGACGCGCATGAGAATCTCTAATTCACCTGCGAACACGTCTGGAAACCGGTTAGATTTTCTGGATTTGGATGTTATCCATAATACGGACGGATCTTGCAGCAGAAAGATGCACAGAAAGCACATGTGGACCGACTTTTGCAGTATAAGAAAAGTTTAGTCCGATCTCCAGGGTGCGCAGTATTTGAATACTGGATACTGTCAATGAAGAATTACAGAAAATCACCGACGCCCTGAAAG